TTATGGTGAGCTTGTGTGCGAACAAATGCAGGGACGATATGGACAGCGAGTGCTCACATAATCACAGCAGTGATCGGGTCCGGAGTCCTGTCCCTGGCTTGGGCCACCGCGCAGCTCGGCTGGATTGCCGGCCCTGCTGTCATGCTCATGTTCGCCTTGGTCACTTACTACACCTCCACCCTCCTCGCCGCCTGTTACCGCTCCGGCGACCCCAACACCGGCAAGCGCAACTACACCTACATGGATGCTGTCAGTGCCAATCTTGGTATGTCACATTTGTATTCGTGTTCATGTTCATATTTCAATGCTAATGTCCGAGTCACGTCCAATGGGTGCTAAAAATCTCCTCTTCGATTAAATTCTCCAGGTGGGTTCAAAGTCAAGCTTTGTGGGCTGGTTCAGTACGTGAACCTCTTTGGGGTTGCCATTGGTTACACCATTGCATCTTCCATTAGTATGATGTGAGTAAATTCAGTGAAAATTCTCTGTGATTGTTTCGCCAGTGTCGAGAGTTATGTGAGTTTGATTGATTTTGTTGGCTTCTATGGTCATTGCAGGGCTATCAATAGGTCCAATTGCTTCCACAAGAAAGGCGAAAACAACCCGTGCCACGTCAACAGTAATCCTTACATGATTGCATTCGGCATCGTTGAAATAATCTTCTCTCAGATCCCCGATTTTGATCAGCTGTGGTGGCTGTCCATCGTCGCGGCCGTCATGTCCTTTACCTACTCCACCATTGGACTTGGCCTTGGTATTGCCAAAGTTGCAGGTACTTGAAATTTTTCTTGCTAAACTGCTCTATTCATCTTTCTAAACTATCCCATTGGTGATAGAACCCGGTAGAAGTACGAAGTTCTGATTTAGTGTTCTGTTCTGAATTGTTTACTCTTCAGAGACGGGGAAAATCATGGGAAGTCTCACTGGAATTAGCATCGGCACCGTGACCCCCACACAGAAGCTATGGAGGAGCTTCCAAGCTCTTGGTGACATCGCCTTTGCCTATTCATACTCCCTCATCCTCATTGAAATTCAGGTGAATAATTTAATTTCCTCTCAAATGCATGACACAAGAAAGTACTAGTGATGGTTAATAATCGTATTGAAATTTGAAATCACTTGACATGATAAGTTTATATATGTTTCAGGACACCATCCGGTCCCCTCCATCCGAATCAAAAACGATGAAGAAGGCCAGTCTAGTCAGCATCGCAGTCACGACCCTTTTCTACATGCTCTGCGGGTGCATGGGCTATGCCTCCTTCGGTGACATGGCGCCTGGAAACCTCCTCACCGGGTTCGGCTTCTACAACCCATACTGGATGGTCGACATCGCCAACGCTGCAATCGTGATCCACCTCATCGGCGCGTACCAAGTCTATTGCCAACCCCTATTCGCCTTCGTTGAGAAGACTGCGATCGAGAAATTCCCCAACAGCCAGCTCATCACGAGGGAGATCGAAATCCCAACCCTTGGTCTCAGTCCTTACAAGCTCAACCTCTTCCGGTTGGTCTGGAGGACAGTCTTCGTGATCATTACCACCGTGATCTCCATGCTCCTTCCATTCTTCAATGACATTGTTGGGCTGCTTGGAGCACTGGGTTTTTGGCCCCTCACGGTCTATTTCCCGGTCGAAATGTACATTGAGCAGAAGAAAATACCCAAGTGGAGCACCAAGTGGGTGTGTCTTCAGATTCTGAGCATGGCTTGCCTAATCATCACCATTGCTGCTGCCACTGGCTCCGTCGCCGGTGTTGTTCTCGACCTCAAGTCTTATAAGCCATTCGGTTCCGACTAGTAATACTCATGCTATTAACCGGCATGTCGCAAGTACGGAAAGGACTGAGCAAAGGCAAGAAAGATTGTTGTGGCGCTCGTGTTCATAACAAGGTTAATTATGTTGGGGGAATTTGCTGTGCGATAAATTCTAGGTTCAGGTTTCATTTTCACTGTATAATGCATTTAGGGAACAAGAAGGTTCATGTTAGTCTCTGCATATTGTGGCTATCATCATAAGAATGTAACTCTTTTATTATTTGTCAATGCAAAACGAAAGCTTCAACAAAAAGGAAGTTCAAGGTCTTCTCTTGCTCATATAGTTTGAGTTTGGGGGCCATACACAAGTGAGCTTGCGAAATAAAACTCCTTCATATTTCGTAGATACTTCCTCTTTCTGAACTCTGCATCTTTTAGAAAGCATCCACTCATATGACAGGAAAACATTGAGGCCTAAGATTGACTTGTCTCAAAACTATTGCGGTTAGAGCCACGGCCAAGTCATTCCAGGACTTTCTACAACGAGAAGTATATAATGACTGTTGAATGAAACAATAAGGGGCAAACCGCGCGCACAATCATGACAAGGATCAAACGGAGCTTTAGTCCTATCCTTACCACGAAAAAGTAAAAAGCCTCTTGAAAAAAGGTTAAATTTTATTTAATTTCTCATGATCCCGACGGTCTGCAAATTCGATAGGGCCTGAACTTGGCCTATTCAGACCTCTGAAGCAAAGAAATGTGTTCTTTGTCATCTCTCCCCTGTTTTCACCCTTAATTTCCGAACTTGCATTAAGGGAAAGACAGCAATGTGCAAGGGAATCTGTGATTATCCCACAATAGTTTTGTAGCTTCCAGTCATGCATGAAATTTTCATTTGCTATGGCAAAAATCAAAACCAACATAACAAGAGTTCGAAAACATCAAAAAGACTAGGGGAGATATTTTTGATAGATTTTTCAGCTACTCCAGTTATCTTTCTTGATTAAGAAAAAACAAAATGAATGGCTGTTCAAAATTCTTGCTGATTGAGAGCAACTTGAGCAGTAGCAGAGGATCTACTTTACACCTGCAGACATGTGTATAATAAAACTGTTCAACGTCAAATCTTCATGAGAGCCATCGAATGTTGCCCACTTCTGTGAATCCACAGATCATGCACTCCACAATAATCTAGGGATACAACCTTTTTCCCATAGCATTTTGATGTGACCCAAGAGAGTAGAAAAGGGATGGCTCATGTTACAAGGTCGACTCAACCGATGGTGTGGGGGATCGAGGCCAAACCCACAAAGTACAATTTCCTTGTGGGTGTCTTTTTTTGTTGGTGGTTCGTGTTCATAATGATTGTAGCTTGAGATTCCCTTTTTGTGATTGTGGAGTATCAATGAAGCAAAGTCAAACCACAAGATGGACACAGATGTTTGTAGTGAAAAGAGCACAAATGGGAGAGTTACTCATTTGTTTTTCTCCTTTTCAATGAGAGTTTCTAATGTGGGGTTGGGGAGAATGCAAGGAAGGAGGTCATGTAAGATTAATGCGTCGAATATTTTCTTTCAATGGAAAATCAAGTATATTTATGCCTTTTTATTTCAATTAAGATAATAATTGAAGCAAACCTGATAGTTTCGAAATTATGAATCATTAAGAAGCATCGTGTCTATTAGAAATCAAAAGCTAGAAGACGAAGTTGATGGTTGTTAGCTTCCAAAATTTTATTTGATAAGCCGTCAAATGACTCTAAGTCATAATGTCAATTTTATTATCATTATTATTATTGCTATTATTTTTACTTTACCGTATTAATAATTTATGCATTCATTGCGTATTATTAGTTTAGTGATACGAAGTAAAATAATGGAAAAAAGCCAAGTTACATTGTTTTTTGGATTCTAACAGCTATTTTTTATTTAGTAAGCAATAAATTGTTGAAAAATTTGGGAGATTGTCATTTAGAATGGATGTGTAGTGCAAATACTATTACATTGGGGGTCAGTAGTGGTCATCCCAATAAAGTTCGTGTAAAATATAATCCTCATATTGTTAAAATTTGTCACCTTAGATTGGTATATCTTATGATGTATTAGGAATCAACATCAGTCATCCTCAAAGTTTGTACATCACTGGAAAGATCTCAATCTTTAATCACAATTTACTCTAAATTTGGATCGCGATAGTTACACGTTCATAATGGATTCGTAAGTCACTTTCGAAGTCGCTTTGTAAATAATCATGCATATATGTCACGTGAAATTCCCGCATGTGCAAGAATCGCAATTTGTAATATGATGTAAATCGATGTCGAGACTAAAATGGAACCAAAAAACAAAACTTGAAGAAGCAAGGCTTTAGCTTTCCCTGACCGAGACTCTCTCAAAACATAGTCAAATATATATATACTAGTGCAACTTTTCACAGCATAGTTTAACCGGTAGCAGCAAAGAAATGAGATTCTTCCTTTTTAAGGAGCACATGGTTTAAGATTCTTTTGTCATTAAGTGAGTAAAAAGGACTCATTCCATTGGCACGTTCTGAGGTAGACAGCCGGAAAGGCGGCAGTGGGGGGTTAGCGGCGGGGGTGGCCGGCGGCGGCGGAGGCTTTCGGCGGCTAGTGGTGCCGAAACTCCGAGGAAAGTCATCGGAACTTAATGCTAAGACACGAACTTGAAATCCCACTATCCCTTAAAGAACGAATTAGGAGAAGTTACTTGTCATTTCAAAACACTAATGATACCAAGAAATGACAAATAAAAAAGTTGGGTTTGTCTTCTTTTTGTAATTATTTACTTTCTGGGGGAAAATTTGGAGGGTTCGAGGAAGAATCTCCAACAACGAAGGGATGCAGCCAGATTCTTTCACACCTAATCAGCCACTAGCAAATCTAGGTCATGATGACTTTAGCTCTAATGTGACACTAGGCCTTATTGATCATGCCACTTGGGGCCAATTTGATCACCACCATGACATGTTGTGCAAAATCTAAAGATAGGATAGTTTAATTTCGAATTTCTTTGGAGCCAACCAAAGGTGCTTAGCTTTTTTTCTATTTTATTTCAATAGTGGCATCAGATAAGGAGGAGGGGCTCCATAGTTGACCGATCTTGGTATGCCAGCTCAAAGGACTAGTTGACCTTGTCGCCAACCGACAAAAACAGGATATTTGAACACAGAAATTATGATGGAAATCGAAATTTTTCATTCACACTTTGTTATCAATATCGTATCTAATGTTTTATTGGGTGTCGTCAAGTCAATCATGTCATAATTTCATAGAAAATACGAAAATAAAAGTTAAGAGTTCACGAGACACAATAAATGAACTATGTCTGTTTGCTCCCTTGGATCAAAGACCATATTTCCAGATGAGCACTACAACAACCGTAGTGTACATATGGGAACAGTAACAAATATGAGATTGATTGATTGATTGAACTATTTCCTGTTCCCTAACAGCTTCATGCCGATCCTCTGCGCTCTAAAGGCTTCGACGCTCGCGTGCTTGATCAAGTCGTCCGAGTACTCACGACTGATATCATCCTTGAACGATGCCATCTTCAATGGTCTCACGATGTCCACTTCGCCATTTAGTACGGCTCTCGCCATAGCTTCCAAATTGCACTCGCTGAGATCTTTTCCCTCGCAAGCCCTATCCTCCATTGCCAGTTTCCTTAGCTCCACTCTCTGTGGTATCAAAAACCCATGATCTCTCTCGAGCTTCTCTGCCATTTTGTCGATCCCAAGCCCCACGACCCTTGCGCCTCCATAGAGGAAGTCTTTGTGAACCTTTGGGATTGGTCCTCCGTAGGTGAATAGCCCGAAGAGAAGGCAATGGTTGCCAACACATAGCTGTAGCAGCCGAAAAGGGCTATTTTCTTTGTTGGAACCTGTAATAACACGGGAGATACATGTGACTAAGGTTTATTGTTGCAAAACTATAAAGAAACACAAGAGTTTCATTTGTTTCACGAAAAATGAATAATTTGAAAAATATTGATTCACGTCAACTCTTGTCAGGTGGCTCGAACAGGTCGGGTAAGTACCATGCGGGGTCCAATTGGATTGAGGCATGACTAGAATTGGATGCATTCATGAACTCAGTCAATAGAACAATGACTTGATTTTAAGCAAGCCCTTTTCAGGGTACTCTCTGAAAAGAATTTCCGGGTGGCCCGTTGCCTCAAGATCGTCAATGTTTTCCTAAATCTTGTTTAGAAGTTCCGTGGGAGAACTTGGGCAGAAAATTGATACTGATGCTTACAATTTTACTGACTTCTTTTGAAAATCTGGAGGACTTCGTGCAAGATTGAATAACAAGGGAATGCTGTCAATCCTCATAGAGTTCTGTAGACTTCAATCTACTGTCCTAATTCGGTTATCAGTTCTTGATCTGGCATGTACAGTCGAAGATTTCCAATTTCCTACAATGTAATTTCTATTCCTCTTTATTCCGCACAATGGTTCGACAAAATAACTTCCTGTGATGATGTTAGACATAAACTAATTTGCCAGATCTTTAGAACAGTGAATATTCGCCATACTTCGTGCATAAGAATTGCAAAATCACTCACCCTTTTTCTCCAAGTACCCGTTTGCATAGCCTATGCCGTGACTGGCCGAGAGACCTACCAAAATCTGCTGCGTGTTTCTCTTCTTGTTGCCATATATTCTCTGGACGCCTCTTATCCATTCTCTAACGACGGGTTCGCTAAGCCTGTAATCTTGGTCTCTCACAATCGTTGTCGTCAAGAAAATCTTCTCTCCGACTCTAATCTCGTAATGATCCCCGAGCTTCCCGGTGCTTTGTATGGTGACCTCCATTGGTCTTCTTCTTCTTCTCTTTTCTCGCGGTTCTCGCCGCAGTTTTTTGGCCTTGTTAGGGTGAAAAGATGTTGAGGGACGATTCTTATAGTGCCAAGATGCAGATCTTTTGCTCATTCATTATCACTGTCTACTCGATCAAGGATCCGAGAATGTTGGGTTTCTTTTCCTATGCTCATCTCTCACATATCATGATAAGGATCATCTTTCTAAAGTTTAAATTCCCACAAGGCTTCGGAAAGATGGACGATAGGCAATTTCTTTTTTCAGAAGATCAGTCGGAAAGAGGAGAATAAACATAGCAGCAAAAATAACAAAAACCAAAGAAGAAAGAAACATCGATGAATGACGCGACGAAGTGTCATATTAAATTACAAATTGAAGGAATTTGAGCACTTTCGTTATGTCTGGCCTCTCTCATCATAGTATCGAAAAGCCAAATCTGGCGTCTCGCTGTTAGAGAATAATGTTAGGGATATAATTAGAAAAGGAACATTTTTTTATATTTCCTTAATTTCTAGAATAAAAGATTTTCTTATTAGATTTGTTAGATTAGATTACTACCTTTCCTATGCTTATTGTTCAGGTATAATTATCCATTTATCAGAACACATTATGAAGCCAAGTTATCAAGTAAATATGTATCCTTTGAGTATTTTTTCTCTCTTCCTCTCTCTTGTAAATTCTAGAATATTGACATCGACTTCTGGAAAGGGCTAACCCTATAATGCTGGTAAGATTTAGAAGGTGAGACTTGTTACCTCACTAATTCATATAGTGCCTGTCACCCTGAGAAGGAATTTACCAGTAACTCAGATGAAAATTCCCTCAGTGGCTTTACGACCGAGACTCGTTTGTCCGATGAGTGCCACGATTTTAAGTAAGTTTGACTTATAGACATTATTGAAACTACAGACTTAAAAGATAAGACCACATCGCCGGATCAATGCAGATAGACAGAGACCGCCGCCCAAAGGGGAAGCCATCATGGAAATCCGATTGAATAATAGTGCGGATTTATGCAGAAATAGAGCCTCACACTGGTTACATAAATACTGCTAAGCACGTTCATAAGGTCTTAAGACTCTCACCCTGATGGCTCAACCTTTAGTGGCGTTATCTCGTTGAACTCCACATCACAGAGACCAGCAAAATGGCAATCATAGTGCTGGAGTTTATCCTAATATCTAAAGAGGCACATCTTGCTAAGGCAACACAGGTTAAAGCTGATGAATATCCATGCTAAGCCTCCAATCAGTCTTTACCTCTCACAATCCGGTTCGGCTTATTCTTGCACCCCCACGTGATGCATCGGATCTATGCCAGTAGAAAGGTCGCAAGACGATTATAGCTTCACCTGGAACAGCATAATAATATGGATATCGGTTTCAGAACTAAAGGCTATACTCTGAACATAGAGCTCCATTATGACAAAGTATAAATAATACCTGTCGCTTCCTCAAGCCACGTTCTTGTTCGTGATTCAGGCATCTTAGATGATTCTCCCGCAGCTTCTTATCCCCCTGTAGTGCACGGTAAACTCGACTAGATGTGACCACACATCTGAAGAGAGATCGTCAAGAAAATGAAGCAATATTGAACTGCACCTTTCATTCAAAATCAGCACCCTTTCTACTTTATCAGTGAACTTCCCTTTCTCTAAAGGCAGTAAAGTAGCAGAAACCGTGGAAACAATTGAAGACATATAGCTGTATACAGGTCAGAGAACCTGCGAATAAAAGGAAAGGCCAGATGAAACATTAGATGGTCAAAATGTGGATCACATGTCACCAATTACAATAATCCTTCCAGTAAGGTGTCGACAAGGTATCATGCATGGCAGACAGCCCTTCATTATCTAGCAAAATAAAGGAGAGAAATCCTCCTTGAGAGAGCTAGTGTCATCCTGTTCTGCATTAGCCGCTCTTCGCCAAAACCATTCATACGCCAGAGATTCGTATGTCTCCCTCACATCCTTTATAAACTTAATTGGCTTAAATATGCATGGCGTTGAGAAAGAGAGAGAAATTGCCAGAGTCCTCTTTACCTTGCTTTCCTTTAACATCTCATTAACCATGGATTTTGCTAGAAATGGCTTTACAAACAAGTTTCACTCTGTTCTTTGTTCCTAAGTTACCAAAAAAAAAAAAAAACAAAGAAGAAAAAGAAATGCAACCAATAGTTACGTCCTCCGAAATAAGCACAGATTCCACAGATACATCAACTGTCGTCATCATGTCTTAAGTCATACACAGATGCAGTGCATATTTAGCTATAACTACAACTTCTACATTTGTTTTCTCATTTTTTCATCCTGTCTATGATGTTGCCTAAGCAATGGAAAAGCATTCATTGCTAGCCACAAAAAAATTCATTGATGAATAGTATACCATTATGAAAGAATATACAAAGCTTGGAAATAAAAGATCAGCATCAGAAATTAAAGCTTTATATTACTGACACCAGAGCAAAATTGGTAGGATGAGATCTGCAACCTATGGTTTATGAACAAAGAAGAAAATAATGCTCACCTGAAGTGACAGCCCAACATCTTAATCAAACAGAGCACTGCTGTCAAACTGAATATGTCCTAATGCCTGAATCTAACAATATCAGGGTCGTAACTTGTAGCAGAAGCTCCTTAGTCCTTCTGCATAGCTTCAATCGCATAATGGCTCTTTAACCAAAAGGTTCATTTTCTCTTGAAGAAATTCCAGCACATCCTCTCTTCCTTCCTTTATGAGCAATTGCCTTACCCTCCCAAAAGTCATACGTGATGGCCGGATCCCTTCTCCATCATCTCCTCCAATAAGACACAAGCCATTGGTGAATTACCCTTCTCGCATAAGCCATTTATGAGCGCTGAGTAAGCGTGCATGCTTGGTATGAATCGCTTCGAGTTCATGTACTTCCACACCTTAAGAGCTATCTCCAGCGCATCCCTCTGGCAGAACATCTTTATCATCATTGTATATGTATCTGCATCAGGCTCACAGACTTTGATCAGTTTCCGGAAGAAGCTGTAAGCTTCATCAGTTTCCCCACTATTAATCAAATTTGTTAATATAATATTGCAGATCGAATCCAGTCCCGGAAGAGTTCTGATTTTCTGCTTACCCAGACTACACATTGCATTGAGTTCACGTTAAAGCCACAACTCACCATCCATCCAACTCAGCAACAGACGGTCACAATCAGAATATGAACAAAAATCAGTACAATGCAACGCCAGAGGAAACAAACAGTACCATGTCAAAGTTTGCACCAGTGGACTGACGATGAAGATGTAGATGAAGCTCGATCCCACCACCAAAGGAAATGATCTTCTTCGTCCTTCTTTGATCTTCTGACGATGAAGTTCACTCACGGCCATTCCATCAAAACGCGATGCCCTGCTTTTTACAACGGAGCCGACAGAACATGTCGAGTGTTGACATGAAAATGGGTTTTTGGGCTTGGTGAATTTCGGCCCAATTTTCCCTTTTATTTTTTCGCGGGTAACGGAACACAGTTACGCACGACGAAGCCATTCTCGTCACTTCCACGACCTCAACGATGTAGTCGCCGGAGTGCCCCATCTGCCTCGCCGCGTACGACGGCGGCGACGCAGCCCCTCGCGCGCCTCCCCCTCGACCTTTCCCTCGGGCAGTCCGATGCCCAGCGTGCACTCAGCGCGTCGAGAATCGTTGGACGATGATCGTGGAGAGCCAATCCTCCTGCTCTGATAGCATGCCTGTATGCATACGAGATTGATGACCTGCAAATTTTCTTTTGACCCATTTTTAGTTCTGTCCAAATGGTTTCTCGGAATGTATGTTTTTCCTTTGTTGCTTTGGACTACTTCTGGTTTTGGAATGGGGTAAGAAGTTGGAATAGTACGGTTCTGGTGCTTAAGCTATTGATCAAGCTTATTGAGCTCTGATGCTTAGGTTGGTTATTGACAAGCTTATCGAGCTCCAGCTACAGTTTAATCCTACGACTGCATTCTAAAGTTTGTTTTTTTTTTCCTCTCTTGTAGGAGGATTTCTCTTTAGCTCCTCTGTTCATGAAACGGTGTCCAGGTGCGGTCTTTGCAGGTATGCATACTGAGCAGAATAGATTGCACTGTAATCAATCAACTCACCGTCTTTGATTCCCAATGTGCTGCTTTTAGAATTAAAATTTGGAATGTACTATCGATAATTGTTTTAGGCTCTATAGAAAATTTCTAATTTCCATCGAATCGTTCGCTAAACCTCATGAGTACAGACTTAATCCGATTTTGGGGGCATCCCACCACATGGTCTAAGCTGATGTTTGAAACAAACTTGGGTGAGTGATTAGGGAAAGAAATTTCAAGAGATCACATGTCACCTAATTTGAGGGCGTTTTGGAGCTATTGAAAAGTCTTCAACAGAAGCCTTGCAGATACAGTAATAATCTTCTCTTGAACACTTGACAATTGTTTCTAATCTAGTGAGTTGATCCTTTGAAGGCAAAACTTGGGAGAGGTTAAATTGTCATTAAGTCCCTAAAGCTTAAATTGTAGGGAAACTCTTGGAGTTTAAGAGTTTTTGTTTTGTGTCAAAGAAGTTGAGAGAGCTGTTTTCATGATTATATGAAATACTTTAAAATACAATGTTTCTTTTATGTAAAACCTTGAATAATTTTATGATTGCCATCAATGTAAAAGCCTGGCCCAGTCTGTTGGGAATGATGAATAATGAACCCAACAGGTGCCATAACCTGTTGTCTCTTATTTCTCTTATTCTTCATCAATGCTTCCCTTTATTTAGTTCCTTCTCCTCCTTTTTCTTTTCCGTATATTTTCCAGGATTTCTCTCATATACGCTCATTCAGGGGTCCATGATCATGGCTGTAATCTTTGCTGATGGGGAACAACAATTGTGCGTCAGTGGTGATAGTGGAAGTGGTATATGTGTCTGGAAAATTCATTCCCCTATGATGGATGAGCCACTAAAAAAATGGTATGAGCGAAAGGATTGACGGTACAGTGGTATACATCCATTGGCCTACTCAAGGAATGGGTTCCTCTATACTGGAAGTGGAGACAAATTGATAAAGTATGGTCGTTGCAGGTGGGCATTTGTGTTCCTAGCTTTATAGACGATTCTGTCGGCTTCTTTCATGGGGTAAAACACTTTTTACAATCTTTAAAGTTTCTTTCTTAACAAGATTGCACCCTTTTATGCAGCATGGATGGTCATAAATTTGTAGTTTCCTCATAGCTTGTATCCAATGGGGTCCTTTACAGTAGCAGTTGGGATGGAACTTTCAGGTTAAGGTGCCTTAGTGATCATAGTCCCCTGACAGTATTTGGGGAAGACTTGCCTGGAAGTATGTCACCGCCAGTCCTGTCTATTACAGGTGAGAGGCATTTTCTGGTTGCAGTTCATGAAAATGGAAGTATGAGGTTTTATTATCTTTCAGTCTTTCTTAATCTTTTACAGGGCTTTCTATCATTTGTAGTGGGTCTTTGAACATGACAGAGTTTAAAGACAGCTTTCTAACCATTATGGCTATATATAGTCTTGAACCAAAATAATAGTGAAAAATATTTAATTCTTGACTTTGCTTGGTGATATTTCCTACTCATTCTCCCGCTGAGAATGGTTATTGGGCATCGTGGTGCTGGACTGATGAAATGGATGAACCGTAGTCTGTCTGAAGATTTCTTGTTTCATTTAGTTTCCACAAAAAATAAATTCACTGTTGAAGTTGAGTGTGGCAATTGGACCCAATTTGATATGGCTCATCCCGTCATTTGATTAGGTCCACTTCGGATGTTTCTAATCCTCGTCTAGGAAATTTCTTCCTCTTAATCTTGTTCGTAGTATTCTGGGGCCCGTGGCATCATTGATGGGTTCGCATTCATGGTCCGAACGAAATCGCTACTAGTAGTTTTCCGAAATTTAATATCAACCGATAACATTGATTACTAACTCATTTGTCAACCTACCAATTGATCGTATCACTTTTGAAAATTACTATATAGAAACTTGAAATTTGGAGACGCGTCTAAGGGAAAGTTCCAAAACATCCAAGAGTCTTGATGTTTATTACGTGAATCACTGAATTGGGTTTCCATTCTCTATCGCTACAAAGTTCATTACGTTGATGCGAGGTGAGAAAATTCCAAGGCAAGAAGATGAGTCCACAGTTATCATTCTGCAGTCAGTTTTCTCATCTACCTCTCTTCTTATTTTAGCCTTCATTCCCATCCTTTTGCTCATCTTGGAGCGATTAGAGAGAATATCTTTCTAAAAATATTATCTGTCTATTTTCCTTGACAAGCCATCCAATCAAGCATAGGAAATGGTTGCGTTCCTCTTATTTGATTCTTCTTCGAAGGGCGAGCACGTATTTCATACTTTTAAGCCCACAGCGAACCGAATTCGTTCTAGAAGGCACGGCGAAATTACGGGGGGATGAAAATTCCTGCAAATCCTTATAGTTGCTGCGCCACAGAAAAGTTTTTCCGAGTGCCAACCCCTTCTTTTTGACCTGACCCCCTTGCTATCACGGAAGGGCATTGCGTTTGAATGGCTTTGGTGGCCCTAGTCGTTTCTTCGGGAGGAAGAAATGGCCGCTTCAGTTCAGCTGAGTTGGTGCCATCAATTTTCAACCACATTCTTCAACTTTCCTCACGAAACCACGATGCCGGGTGTCGTCGTCAATCCTTGTACGTTTGTTAACATTTGCATCAGATACCAACCACAAAATCACCTGCCCTTTTTTCCCTCTTTCCCTTGCTCCCACGGTCATGGAGGCAAATAAAGACAGAGAATGAGATACGGTCGCTGTCCACCTCCCATAAATGGCGACGATGTGATCTAATCATAGAAGGACTCCATGGTTTAATCATTTTATGTTCACTGAATTTTTAAGTGGACCCTTTGACTCGTATAAAAAGAATCAGATGCTCTCGCTTTTTTCTTGGCATCTCTCTCTCTCTCCTCTGCATCTTCTCTATATACCCGACCACCCGCCCCTCATTCCTCTGTACTTAGTCTGTACTTCTCCTTGTGAAGAAACATACTTTACACTCTCCGAGTTGGTGCTTCGCTTTTCGTATATTAAAGGCGGGTGCGAATTCTGCCATGGAGAACCAGCTGCATCAGAACAACCAGGTCTTCTATGTGTCTCTTGATGTCCACCCACAAGGTGGCTCCAAATGCTTTGACGATGACGGTCGTCTCAAGCGCACGGGTCCTTCCTGTTTCTTTTCCTTTCGTCTTGTAGAATGTTCAGTGACAATGTTACTTAGGGTGGGCTTGAGTGTGAACGAATGCAGGGACGGTATGGACGGCAAGTGCTCACATAATCACAGCGGTGATCCGTTCCGGAGCCCTGTCCCTGGCTTGGGCCACTGCGCAGCTTGGCTGGATTGCCGGCCCCACCGCCATGTTTCTGTTCGCCTCTGTCACTTACTACACCTCCACCCTCCTCGCCACCAGTTACCGCTCCGGCAACCCCGTTACCGGCAAGCGCAACTACACATACATGGATGCTGTCAGTGCCAATCTCGGTATGTCACATTTGCATTCGTGTTCGTGGTCATATATTTCATGCACTAATGTCTGAGTCATGTCCAATCATGTTGTGTTGGGCGCTAAAATCTCCTCTTTGATTACATTCTCCAGGTGGGTTCAAAGTCAAACTTTGTGGGCTCGTTCAATACGTGAACCTCTTTGGGGTTGCCATTGGTTACACCACTGCATCTTCCATTAGCATGTTGTGAGTATATTTTCAGTGAAAATTCTTGTGATTGTTATTTTCTCCAGTGTCCAAAGTTATGTGAGTTTGATTGATTTTGTTGGCTTCTATGGTCATTGCAGGGCAATCAAGAGGTCCAATTGCTTCCACGAGAAAGGCGAGAAGAGCCTGTGCCACGCCAACAGCAATCCCTACTTGATTGCATTCGGCATCATTGAAATCATCTTCTCTCAGATCCCCAGTTTCGATCAGCTGTGGTGGCTGTCCATCGTCTCGGCCATCATGTCCTTTACCTACTCCACCATTGGACTTGGCCTTGGTATTGCCAAAGTTGCAGGTCCATCCTGCTAAACTGCTCTATTTGTCTTTTTAAACCATCTCCCTTGGTGATAGAACCTGGTGGAAGTATGAAGTTGTGATTTAGAGTTCTGTTCTGGTTTTTTAAATCTTCAGAGACAGGGAAAATCAGGGGAAGTCTCACTGGAATCAGCATCGACACTGTGACCTCCACGCAGAAGCTATGGAGGAGCTTCCAGGCTCTTGGTGACATCGCCTTTGCCAATTCATACTCCCTCATCCTCATTGAAATTCAGGTGAATAATTTAATGTCCTCTCAAATGCATGACTCAAGAAAAGAGTACTGGTTATGGTTAATAGTGTAATGAAACTGAAATCATTGCCATGATAAGTTTGGATATGTTCCAGGACACGATCCGGTCCCCTCCATCCGAATCACAGACAATGAAGAAGGCAAGTCTAGTCAGCATAGCCGTCCCAACCCTCTTCTACCTGCTGTGCGGGTGCATGGGCTATGCTGCCTTCGGCGACATGCCGCCCGGAAACCTCCTCACCGGGTTCGGATTCTACAACCCATACTGGATGGTCGACATTGCCAACGCTGCAATTGTGATCCACCTCGTTGGCGCATACCAAGTCTATTGCCAACCCCTATTCGCCTTTGTCGAGAAGACCGCAGTCAAAAAATTCCCCAACAGCCAGTTCATCACGAGGGAGATCAAAATCCCCATCCCCGGGCTCAGCCCTTACAAGCTCAACCTCTTCCGGTTGGTCTGGAGGACGGCCTTCGTGATCGCGACCACCGTGATCTCCATGCTCCTCCCATTCTTCCATCACATTGTCCGGCTGCCAGGACCGCTGGGTTTTTGGCGCCTCACGGTCTATTTCCCGATCGAGATGTACATTAAGCAGAAGAAAATACCCAAGTGGAGCACCAAGTGGGTGTGCCTCCAGATTCTAAATGTGGCTTGCCATATCATCGCCATCGCTGCCGCCGCTGGCTCGGTCGCAGGAGTTGTTATCAACCTCAAATCCTACAAGCCATGCAGTTCCGACTACTAACTATCATGCTACCAGCAGGCATGTCGCAAGTAAGGAAAGGACCGAGCGATATGATGTATATCTAGGAACCAATATCAGTTGCCTCAAAGTTTTTATGTCACTAAAAAATCTAGAAACAATAAGGTTTTAATCTCTGAGTTTCCATTGTATATGATTTCAATCTATAAACACAATTTGGTCTAAGTTCGGTTTGCAATAGTTACAATTTCATTCTCAATTTTACCGACTTCAATTAAGTTTTCAATTTTCAAATTGAGAAAGTTACGATCACAACTTGCTCGTACTTAATTTCATAGACGACACGAAAATAGAAGTTAAAGTTGATGAAGCAAGATAAAAACCCTCCACACAGGGCCTTTGTTACCTTAGATCAATGAATATGTTTCCAGATGAACACTAAATCAACCACGGTAGCACTAACAAATATGAGATTGATTGATTGATTGAACTATTTCCTGTTTCCTAACAGCTTCGTGCTGATCCTCTGCGCTGTAAAGGCTTCGGCGCTCGCATACTTGATCAAGTCATCTGAGTACTCACAACTGATATCATCCTTGAACCATGCCATCTTCAACGGTCTCATGACATCCACTTCGCCTTCTAGTACGGCTCACGCCATGGCTTCCAAATTGCACTCGCTGAGATCTTTTCCCTTGCAAGCCCTATCCTCCATTGCCAATTTTCTTAGCTCCACTATCTGTGGTATCAAAAACCCAAAGTCTCTCTCGAGCTTCTCTGCCATTTTGTTGATCCTAAGCCCCACGACTCTTGTGCCTCCATAGAGGAAGTCTTTGAGGACCTTTGGGATTGGTCATCCATGGGAAAATAGCCCGAAGAGAAGGCAATGATTGCCAACACATAGCTGTAGCAGCCGATAAGGGCTATTTTCTTTGTTTGAATATGCAATAGCATGGGGGATACATGTGACTAAGGTTTATTACCGCGATACTATAAAGAAACACAAGACTTAGCGCAAACAGGACTGGCACACAAGATATTAAGTTGATTTCCTAACTTGAATATTGATTCACGTCAACTCTTGTCAAGTGGCTCTAACGGGTTGGGTAAGTCCCACGCACAGTCCAATTGGATTGAGGCATAACTAGAACTGAATGCACGAATGAACTCGGTCAATAGAACAATGACTTGATATTAAGCAAGCCCTTTCTGAATTACTCTCTGAAAAGAAGCTGTAAGCTTCCAGCACTCCCCCCCTCCCTACATGATGCATTGGATCAATGCCAGTAGAAAGGTCGCAAGACAATTATGGCTTCGCCAGGAGCAGCATAATAATATGAATATCGGTGTTAGAACAAAAGGCTATACTCTGAACATAGAGCTCCATCATGACAAAGTATAAATAATACCTGTAGCTTCCTCAAGCCACGTGCTTGTTCGTGATTCTGGCATCTTAGATGATTCTCCTGTAGCTTCTTCTCCCCCTGTAGTGCACGGTTAACTCGGCTAGATGTGACCACACATCTGAAGAGAGATCACCAAGAAAATGAACCACCATCAAACTGCACCTTTCATTCAAAATCAGCACCCTTTCTACTTTATCAGTCAACTTCCCTTTCTCTAAGGCAGTAAAGTAGTAGACACCGTGGAAACAATTGAAGACTTATAGCTGTATACAGGTCAGAGAACCTGCAAATAAAAAGAAAGGCCACATCACACATTAGATGGTCAAAATGTGGATTACATGTCACCAATTATAATAATCCTTCCAGTAAGAGGTCGACGAGGTATCATGCACAGCAGACATCAACAGATGCCCTTCATTATCTAGCAAAATAAAGGAGAGAAATCCTCCCTGAGAGAGCTAGTGTCATCCTGTTCTGCATTAGCCGCTCTTCGCTAAAAACATTCATATGCCAGAGATTCGTATGTCCTCTCACATCCTTTATAAACTTGATTGGCTTAAATATGCATGGCGTTGAGAAAGAGAGAGAGATATTGCCAGAGTCCTCTTTACCTTGCTTTCCTTTAACATCTCATTAACCATGGATTTTGCCAGAAATGGCTTTACAAACAAGTTTCACTCTGTTCTTTGTTCCCAAGTTACCAAAACAAAAAAAAAAAAACAAAGAAGAAAAAGAAATGCAACCAATAGTTACGTCCTCCGAAATAAGCCCAGATTCCACAGATCCATCAACTGTCGTCATCATGTCTTAAGTCCTACACAGATGCAGTGCATATTTTGCTATAACTGCAACTCCTACATTTGTTTTCTCATTTTTTCATCCTGTCTATGATATTGCCTAAGCAATGGAAAAGCATTCATTGCTAACCACAAAAAATTCATTAATGAATAGTATACCATTACGAAAGAATACACAAAGCTTGTAAAGAAAAGATCAGCATCAGAAATTAAAGCCCTATATTACTGACACCAGAGCAACATTGTAGGATGAGATCTGCAACCTACGGTTTATGAACAAAGAAGAAAATAATGCTCACCTAAAGTGACAGCCCAACATCTTAATCAAACAGAGCACTGCTGTCAAACTGAATATGTCTTAATGCCTGAATCAAACAATATCAGGGGTCATAACTCGTAGCAAAAAGCTCCTTAGTCCTTCTGCATCGCTTCAATCGCATAATGGCTCTTTAACCAATAGGTTCATTTTCTCTTGAAGAAATTCCAGCACATCCTCTCTTCCTTCTTTTATGAGCAATTGCCTTACCCTCCCAAAGGTCATACGTGATGGGCGAATCCCTTTCTCCATCATCTCCTCCAATAAGACACAAGCCCTAGGTGAATTACCCTTCTCGCATAAGCCATTTATCAGCGCTGAGTAAGTGTGCATGCTTGGTATGAATCGCTTCGAGTTCATATACTTCCACACCTTAAGAGCTATCTCCAGCTCATCCCTCTGACAGAACATCTTTATCATCATTGTATATGTATCTGCATCAGGCTCACAGACCTTGATCAGTTTCCGGAAGAAGCTGTAAGCTTCATCGGTTTCCCCACTATTAATCAAATTTGTTAAAATAATATTGCAGGTCCTTGAGTTGGGATTAACTCGCCTGCTCTCCATCTCACTCAAGACCCTTTTCACGTTTTTAAATTTGTTAACTTTGCAAAAGGCGCTAATCAGGGAATTGTATGCTACTACGTCAGCCTCAATTCCATTCCTTTCCATTTCTAGGAATGTCTCCACAGCATCTTCAATCCGATTTTCTATCCCGTAGGTGTGTACAAGAACGCTATAAATGAAAGATGTTGGCCGACAGGCAGTGGAATCCATTTCCTTGACAATTCCAACAGCCTCATCGACTCTCCCGGCCTTGCAAAGTATGTCGACCATAATTCCGTACGTCACTATATCAGGGTCGCAACCTGCGCTAACCATTTCACGGAAGGTCTCCCTTGCCTTGGGCAGATTTGGAGCCTTCCCCCATCCTTCTAGCAATATACTGTACGTCTTTGAGTCTGGAACATATTGCTGTTTCATACTATCAAAGATCTCTTGAGCCTTCCTCACATTCTTGGCCTTACACAAAGCACTTAGGAGACCATTGAATGCGGCTAGATTTGGGGGCATGTCATACTTTTCCATGACGTTAAATGTATATAACGCCTCATCCACCTTCTGGACCCTAGCATACTTCCGCATGATGATGCAAAACGTCTCGACATTCAACATGCTCTTGTTCCTCATGGCATTCACAACATCCCACACGATTTGGTACTGCCTGATCTTGGCCAGAGACTCGATCATGATATGGTAAGCCCTGACACTGTGCGCGTAATTTCTTTGCTTCCCAGCCCATTCAAAGAATCTATAAGCCAGCATACCTGCATTTTCGAGTCTCTTAAGGACATCCTCCACTATATCCGGGGACACCCTGACGCCACTCTGGTCAAGGGCAGTATCGAGGGCCAATGCCGGTGTGGACATCATGATTTTACTTATCTTTCTCAATGATTCTGAAACTTCTCTAACTGATTCACTCGAACTGTACATTCTTCCCCATACTTTCCATCTTAAAGAACACCCAATGTCGATTCTCAGCATGTTATCGGCCAAACTGAGAATTCACAATCCACCTAAGCCAATCAGTCAAATCAGTCTCAACTGCACGTCGGAGAGCAGCCTCAGAATTCAGTCCTGCAGCAGTAATGTTCAAACCATTCAAACAAACAATGCCGGTTCGGCTTACCCAACATCTGCCGGAGCAATTCGACGGCTCGATTCATCCCAAACTAAACGACTCTCGCCAAAACAACTCCGCCGGCACGACTCGCTAGACCGAAATTTCACCTCGCGCCTTCCACAGCTCGATTCGTCCCGACCAAAGGACACTCTAACCAAACTAGTTCCAACATCACACCATCCTACAAGGCTGCTATCGCCAGCGGCAATCCACCGCGTCTCTCAAAATCCATTCCCGAAAAGACTTGTCGTTTTCGGGGTCACCCAAACTACACATCGCATCGAGCCCATCTGACTCGGCAACGTTCGGGTCACGATCAGCACATGGACGAAAATCAGTACGATGCAATGGCAGAGCAAACGAACCGTATAATGATAGAGCTTTCACAAGTCGACTGACGATGTGAAGATGGAGATGAAGCTCGATCCCACTCCAGAAGAAATGATCTTCTTCGTCGTCCGTCGTTGATCTTTCTGACGATGGAGTCCATTCACGGCCATTCCATCGAAACGCGATGCCCTGATCCTTCCAACTGGGCCGAAAGAACACGTCGACGGGAAAATGGGTTTTGGGCTTGATGAGCTTCGGCCCAATTATCCCTTTGTTTCTTTTTTTTTTTGGAAATACACATAAAATCCCTTTTGAGTTTGACTTTTAATTTGTTAAGCTAATGCGAAATGTGGTTAATTTGTTCAACATAGCCCTTGAATTTTTGTACATATTCAATTTAGTCCATGTAGTAGATAATTCATAGCGTGGGCTGAATCTAGGGATATAATAAATCAGGGATTAGATTGAACCTAGGGATATAATAATTCAGGGATTAGATTGAATCCAGAGATATAATAATTTAGGGACTAAGTTGAACATTTTCCAAAAGTTTAGAGATTAATTGAACAAATAAAAAGGTTTGGGATCAATTGAATAAATTGGGATTAATACCACGAAAAACTTTAAACTGCCAAACTAATTTTTTGACCACTAAAAACCCAAAACTGTTACATTTGCGACGAATTAACCCTAAACTAAAAACACTAAACTAGTATACTTATGGCAAATTTATCCTCCGTTAATTTTCATTAAATTAGATTGATACCACAACTTATGACAAACGGAAGGTACAACCCAAATTATATCATGTGTCATCCAAGTTAGCAATTTGACACATCCAAGTTAGCAATTTGACAGTAAAATTTAGCGGAAATTAATTAAAGGTAAATTTATTATAAGTATACCAGTTTGGGGTTTTTTGGTAAATTTATCATAGTTATACCAGTTTGGAGCTTTTTGTGATATTAACGTAATAAATTAAAAAGTTCAGAAATTATATTAAAAAAATTAAAAGCTCATGGATCAATTTATATATCGAGTTAAAGTTTAGAAATTTGATTGAACAAATTAAAAGTTCAAGCATTATATTTCACCGCGTGGCAAAATTAGAGGACCAATTATGCAAATTACGCCCTGTTTTTTCGCGGGTGACGGAACACAACTACGCACGACGAGGCCATTTTCGTCACCTCGACGACCTCAACGATGGAGCCGCCGGAGTGCCCCGTATGCCTCGCCGCGTACGACGGCGACGACGCGGTCCCTCGCGTGCTCGCGTGCGGCCACAGCGCGTGCGAGACCTGCCTCGCGCGCCTCCCTCGACCTTTCCCCCACGCCGTCCGGTGCCCCGCGTGCACCCAGCTCGTCAAGTTCCCGCCTCAGGGCCCCGCCTCTCTCCCCAAGAACATCGACCTCCTCCGTCTCTGCAACCCCGAACCCGACCGCGCCGGCCGCGACCGATCCCGCCGAGAATCGCCGGACGATGATCGTCGGGTCAACCGGGAGCTGTTCGTCGGCAAGACGTGGTCCGACCAGTTCTACGCCGCGTGGAAAGAGTGGATAGTCCCGAGCGACGCTGTCTCGGTCGAAGAAGATCGCGGGGGCGATCGGCGTGGCTTTTGTTACAAGTTGGTAGGGAGAATTGGTTATGTTGATTCTGGTTTGTTGTCCATGCGGTGTCGCGAGAAGCAGGAAATTAGTCTTGTTCCGATGGTTTCGTTGTCGAATTGGAGCGAGGACAGTTCGGGGTTCAGGTTCGATTATGTTGCGAGGGTTTTGACTTGTTTGAGTAGTATTGGGGAGGAAGCATTGGATGAATTAGCTTTAATTTTGAGAGCATCCTTGAGAAGACGGTGTAGAGTGTGTCAAGTTTATGGCTTGTGGGGTAATCTTAAGGATGAAGTTCTGTATTTAGTATGTGAGAGGCTCAACGGACAGGTTTTACGGGATTTTGGTGAGTTGCTGCAGTTTGATGGTGTCGATGGAAACAACGCGAGTAACGATTGGGTGTCTGGTTTTGCAATCACGGGTATGGAGATATGTGAGGGGGTAATCAGCTTGCACAACGAAGGGCTTATAGCTGGCTGTTTGGGTATTTCATGTATGAAGATAGATGAATTTGGACATGCGTGTATTGATTTGAATGAGGTCTTGGTGATGGAAAGGAAAGTCGCTGGAGTTGCTGGTGAGTATGTTTCTGATGGAAAAAGAATTGATAACAAAGAGTTGCATAAGATCTTCCGCGAGTTACTGGAGAATGATGCTCTCTTGAGCCCTGAGGTACTGTTTGAGCTATTGAGGAGATGGGATGCTAAATTAGATGATTCCGGCAGCTCGTATTTGATCGGGTATGGATCAGATGTCTGGGTATTGGGATGTATGCTCGTTAGGCTTCTTATGGGTGCTGCATTCCCTGGAGAGACCTGGAACGTGAGAGAAGAAGATGATTCAGATTTTTCAGTTTTGTACATTAATTGGTTGGAAAACATTGGTTCTTTTTTGGAGAAAAAAGTGACCTCGCATTTTGTGTCGTTGAGGCTGGTGCTCCTTGAATGTTTGAACTTGGATCCACAAACCCGACCGCTTATAACTGATGTGAGAAAATGCATTAGGGAACTGATTGTGGGATATCAATTTTGCAATGGGGGTATTGAGGAGAAGGTAGTTAGAGAAGATCCTGAGTTTCATTGCTTGATTTTAGGGAAATTATGTCGGATGGCATGGAAAAGTTCAGATACACGGAGAAAAGAGTTGCATGGGAGCGAGCATGCTTGTGGAGCAGAGAATCGAACTGGTAAGGTTGGAGTGGATAAAGAGTTAGCTGATGGTTTCTCTGAGCAAAGTGTTAAATGCATAAATATGCGGGGTCATCTTGACTGTATTACTGGTTTCGCCGTCGGAGGTATGGGGGCCATTCTTCACACTTGTGTTGCTGAAATCTTTATATCGATTCTCATTTTTAATGTTCTTCATCAATGTGTTTACTTGATCTATGTTCTTTCTGCACGGTGCCACTGTCCTCTAAAGGCATTGAATCAATTGACTTCAAATTCCTTCCAGTATCGAGAAGTATCCTTTTCAATTATTTGCTTTTCTTTTTTTAATGAAGCACTTTGCCAATTTAGCTTTCTTGTTCATGGCATTGTGTTGCTCTCGAGTGTACTGGGCTTTCTCTCATGTTGTAGATGCATCATTTCAGTGAGAGTAGTGCTTGAAGCTAACTTGTGCTTAACTTTGTATACTTACATCAGAACAGGCTTTGATTGAGTGATGTTGACATAGACATAGGACAGTTTCGCATGGTGACCTGCTCTGATAACATTTCTGTATGCATAAGAAATACATGACCTGCAAATTTTCTCTTGACCCATTTCTTTTTCAGTTCTCCAAATGGTTTCTAGGTTAGTTTTGTAGTTGTTGCTTCAAACTACTTCTGGCTTTGGAATGGGGTACAAAGTTGGAATATTAAGGTTCTGATTCTTAGTTTATTGACTAAGCTTATTGAGCTCAGATGCTTAGGTTATTTAGCAAGCTCATTGAGTTCCAGCTAGTTTGATACTATAACTTCATTCTAAAGTTTGTTTTTTATCTTGTAGGAGGATTTCTCTTTAGCTCCTCTTTTGATAAAACGGTCCAGGTGTGGTCTTTGCGGGTATGCATACTAAGCACAATAGATCACTGAATCTATCAACTCACGTCTTTGATTCCCAATGTTCTGCTTTTAGAGTTAAAAGTTTGAATATATTATCGATAATTGTCTGAGGCTCTATAGACTTACTAATTTCCATTATATTACCTCATGATTATTGACTTCAATCTGATTTTGGGGGCATCCCATGACTCTAAGTGAAAAGCAATTCTGACTACATGGTCTAAGCTGATGTTTGAAAGAAACTTGTGTGAGTGATTTAGGGAAAAAATTTGAAAAGATCACATATCATGTAATTTGAGGGCATTGTAGCTGTTGAAAGTATTCAACAGAACCCCAGTTACAGTAATGATTTACCTCTTAAAATAACTTGACAAGTCTTTTAATCTAGTGAGTTGATCTTTTGAAGGCAAAACTTGGGAGAGTTTAGTTGCCATTGAGTCCCTAAGCTTAAGTTCTAAGGCAACTTTTGGAATTTGAGAGAGTTCTCCATTTTGGGTCAGAGAATACGAGAGAGCTGTTTTCATGACTATATGGAATACTTGAAAATACAATGCTTTTTATGTAATACCTTGAATAAGATTATGATCGCCATCAATGTGAAAGCCTGGCCTAGTCTGTTGGGATCGATGAATGGATGAACCCAACAGGTGCCATAACTTTCAAGCTCACATAGAGTTTCAGGAAGCCACAGTCAAAAAGCATAGTGCCCTGATCTTCATACGGAGAGCTAATACAAGCCTCTTTTTTCCTTTTGTCTTGTAATTCTTATTCTTTATCAATGCTTCCCTTTATTAAGTTCCCTTTCTTTTTCCTTTTTTCCATCTTTTTCCAGGATTTCTCTCATGTACACTCATTTAGGGGTCATGAACACAAGATCATGGCTGTAATCTATGCTGATGGGGAACAACAATTATGTGTCAGTGCTGATAGTGGAAGTGGTATATGTGTCTGGAAAATACATGCCCCTATAATGGAAGAGCCACTCAAAAAATGGTATGAGCAAAAGGATTGGCGGTACAGTGGTATACATGCATTGGCCTACTCAAGGAATGGGTACCTCTATACTGGAAGTGGAGACAAATTGATTAAAGCATGGTCATTGCAGGTGGGCATTTGTGCTCCTAGCTTTATGGATGCTGCTGTTTGCTTATTTCAACGGGGGATACAATTTTCACAATCTTTGAGTTTCTTTTTTAACAGGATTGCACCCTTTCATGCAGCATGGATGGTCATAAATCTGTAGTTTCCACATTGGTTGCATTCAATGGGGTCCTTTACAGTGGCAGTTGGGATGGAACTGTCAGATTATGGTGCCTTGGTGATCATAGTCCCCTGGCAGTATTGGGGGAAGACATACCTGGAAATATGTCACCAGTCCTGTCTATTACAGGGGAGAGGCATTTTCTGGTTGCAGTTCATGAAAATGGAAGTATAAAGGTATTATCATCTTTCAGTCTTTCTTAATCTTTTCGGGGCTTTCTATCATTTGTATTGGGTCTTTGTACATGATAGACTTGAAAGACAGCTTTCTAATCATAACATGGGTCGATGACTATATGTTGTCTTAAACCAAAATAATAGTGAGAATATTTAGTTCTTGACCTTACTTGGTGATATTTCCTACTGAGTCTCATGCTGAGAATGGTTATTGGGCAACTCGTGGTGCTGTACCGATGCATTTGATGAATTGTACTCTGTCTGAAGATTTTTGGTTTTCTTTAGTTTTCAGAAAGATTGATTATAAAAGCACTGTTGAGATTTTCTGGAGAAGGGAAATAGGAATTGTTAAACTTTGTTCTCCATGAACTCACTGGAAAAACTGTTCATTCGTAGATTCTTGGAAATGGTAGTCTTTTGGATTCTGCCGCTTACAAGGGAGGGGACTAGCTAGCTGGCATCTTTCATATGGAGTGCCATTTCTAATGGGATGAAAACTTGCCATGGATGTCCTAATCACTGAAAACTGATTTGGCTCCGTTCTGTTTTGTAGGTCTGGAAAAATGATGTGTACATAAAATCTGCAAAAGTGCATAATAGTGCTATTTTTGCAGTAAGCTTAGAAGGCAAATGGCTGATAACTGGAGGCCGGGAAAAAACCATCAATATACAGGTAAAGTAGCAGTCATTGGCTTCTTGGTGTATGTTTTTTCTCAAATAGAAATATATGCTATGGTTAATTTGCACTTATCACTATCGGTGAGTTATTATTGGCCCAATTCCTTTTAAAAGCACCGACTTTAACTTGAGTCTCAACTCTGATCGGAACTTTTTTTTTCCTAGTTAAAAAGCAACAACTTTGGTTCCGGTTCCCATTTTGGCCCGAATTTATTTTGTCTCGTAAAAAAACACCAACTTTAGCAGGTATCCAATTCCAACTCCAACTTCTTTTCGTCTCATAAAAAAGTACCAACTTTCGGTTGGTACCTAAATCTGGCCCTATCTAGTTTTCGCTGAGTACACGTCAAATCTTTAATATCGTCATTGGACAGAAACTCGACGGGGGCTAGATTTGGAAGCCAATCGAAAGTTTGTGCTTTTTTATAAGACAAAAAAATGTTAGGGCCACTATTGAGATCCGACCTAAAGTTGGTGTTTTTATATGAGACAACAAAATTTAAGCTAGAATTGCGACACAAGCTAAAGTTGATGCTTATTTTATGAAACAAAAAAAAGCTTGGGCTTGAGTTGTGACCTGAACTAAAGTCGGTGTTTTTAAAGGGAATTGAGCCGTTATTATTGTTCTCTGCTGAGAATATTTTCTTTTTCTTGCATCTTATCTGCATAACAATTTGCAGGAATTATCAGGTGATGAGCTTCAGGTAGACATTAGACCGGTTGGTTCAATACCTTGTAGTTCTGTCGTGACAGCTCTCTTAAGCTGGCAGGGAAAAATTTTTGTTGGATGTGCCGATAGGTCAGCAAAGGTACCCTTCCGATTTACGGATTCTCTTCTCATGTTATTAAGAACCAAGATCGTGGGCTTCCTGTATTGCTCTTGCCAGCTTCATGTCATACTATGATTTGCATGATTGGGTTGAATATTTTTCTCTGATTCCAGCAAAAACGAAAAAGAAAAATGGGACATATCTATTTGCATGGCGCCATACTTTTTGAGTTAATTTTATGGAGCAAATGCATGCCTTTGGCCATTTGGTTGTTCTATTATTTTTTACGCATATTTCTTTACCATCCTAGAAGGTCATACCTGTTCAATCAATAATTGTGCTGGTTTGCAATGCTTGTAAAATCTTTGCATGTAAAACCTATTTGAGTTCTTGTCCTAATTTTCCCAATCTCTCTCGTGTTGTTACATTATCCTGCAAGAGGAAGATTTTGTAGCACTCAAAAGAAAAAATAGTGAACTGTGAGTACGTAGGCTACATATTTTTTACCGAGTCATCCACTCGAGCAATCTGTTTCCTAGACCAGATTCAGATATGTCAACTGTATCATCCTCTATATTTCTTTTTTTCCCAAGCAACCTGGGAAAACATAGAAACTCCACCATGTTGATCTATATAGTTTAGGCTAGAGCTTCCTTTAGAACAAAAACATTGTCTGCCACCTCAAAAGTTCTGATTAATCTTTGTATAACTCTCTTCGACTTCTCCAAACATAGTCAAAATCTATCTCAATGCATCATTTTGTTAGTGTACTTTCTACGGATGATTAGCTGATCTAAGTGATCGTATTCCAATATGCAGGTTTATTATTCCGGAAAGTGATTATCTTCTATCTCAACGCATCATTTTGTTCATGTGTACTTTCTACGGATGATTAGCTGATCTAAGTGATCGTATTCCAATATGCAGGTTTATTATTCTGGAAAGTGAATATCTTAGCCAGTGAGTTATTCTCGGAAGAGATTGTTAAGTTTCTGACAATAGGGATAAACCTTTTCACCTGAAGGGGCTTCCTCAGTTTGGTGTTGCGTCTTGACTTTGGAGCAACAAATCTTCATTGTATATTGAGTTGAATATCTGATTCTATGTATATAATAGCCACTGAGATCCCTAGTAAATACAAAGGGTAGCTGGATCTATTTGTCATAGGTGGTTTCTTTCAACTGCTTGGAGAGTCGAAGGCGACAGGGTTGATGCAAGCAGTTGCTCGTATCTAAAGAAGCTATTTCTGTATGACATGTATATAGCACAAATTACCTCAGATGAAGACGATGTGGGAAGTAAATGCTTAATGTCAATACGCTGATAAAGAATACAATAAAAGGAAAAGTTATTTTTTACCTTTTTTCCTTCAATTCTTACCCGGCTTAAGGCACAACGTTAGTTATTTTACCAGGTTTGCTTGTTTACATTTCTTGGTTTGCAGTGTCTGCGTGTGAATGGATTTTTATTAGACATGTTGATTCGAATAGGTATAGTCGGTACAACCAGCTTCTCAGTTTGTATGATGAAAATGTAATGGTGCACATCATGTTTCCCTGATCAGGCACTAATGTTCTCTTTCAGAAATTTTGACAGTCACAGATCATGGATGTTTCTCTATGTCTGCGAATCATACTCCTGACCATCTTCCATTGGTTGCAGCAAGTCTAGCAGCAGTATCCAATACACAGGACCGATATTACAGTGTCATATGACCTCATGTACCATTTACAGGGGAAGGCTAGTGCGTTTTGTCAAATAGATAACTTACAGGCACACAACCAAATACCTGGTTTTTCGCCCGATGTGGCCCGACCTCACCGGCCTAAAATTGTTATGCGATATTCTCTGAAGACGGAGCCAGAGATTAAAGTTACGCATGTTGATATGGTTTATCCCCTTCTTTGATTAGGTCTACTTCGGAGGTTTCTAATCCACGTTGGGGAAACCGCTTCCTTTTAATTTTGTTTGGATTAGTCTTCGGCCCGTGACATTATTAAAACCATTAGTAATTGCGAAACAATCGAATAAGTGTTGGTAACTTGCTCGAATAAAAGTTCATAGAGTAAAAACTAGTAGGTAACTTAACTCATGAAAAGTCGGTAAATAACCTTAATCAAAGTTAGATAATTTCTTCTAAGAGTTTAGTAAGTAGATTCGAATAAGAGTTGATAATTTTCTATAAAAATCAGGTAACTTTAACATATCGGTAAGTTACGTGAATAAAGTTTCTGAAATATTGAAATGGTTTGCTGTAATTTAAAACAATCCAACAAAAGTTGGTGCTTTCCTAAAAGTTATAGTAACTTACTAACGTGTTATGGTGTAAATAATTTGTTAGGTCATAATTTTGTTACTAATTAGTTCTGTCAGTTACCAAAAGCTTTTCACATGTTACCATGACAGACGATTTTTGCCCTACAGAACAGTAGAATAGGATTTCTATGTGTAGAATTGATGAAGGATAGCTGCTGCTTAACTCTTTAAATTAACAGAAGATTAGATTAAAATCAGATACTAATTAATCATCAGATGTCCAGATAGACTAGCCTCTTTGGTTTTTCTCTGGTGTGGTTTGCATTTTGCAGTGGCAGAGAAAACACAAAAAGCTTAGCAGAGGACAAAGACATGCAGGTGCAGGTGCAGGTGCTGAAGCTCCTCCATTTTGCTTCGCTTTCACAGACTCCGGCATCAGTTCCCAACTCCAGAACGAAGCTGAACTTGGCATGAATTAGCTCTCTCTCTCTCTCTGCCCCCATCACATGGCAACTGCGCCTGCTCTTGTTCAGCCCCACGCCGTCAACTGGAAGCCACCTCCGCCTCAGCACTACCCACTTCGTTTCTTGAAACCCACATCGTCTTTCCCGTGTCCGACGTCTCCTTCCCGCTCGCTTCCTTCGTCGTACAGTCTCCGGCGGCGTCGCTTGACTCGGGCCTCCGCGGTCGCGTCCGTGAAGGTTTTGAATTTTGTCGCCCGGCGCCTGTTTTGCCATTGCACGCCACCTGCTCGATGGTATGCCTGTGTTGAAGGGTTGCTCATGTTTTTCGTTTTCTTCGTTTCCTGTTAGGAGAACAATGGACGCGTCGCTAGGGCGTGGAGGGATTTCGCGAGCTTGAACTACTGGGTCGTGCGGGATTATTATCGACTTGTGGACGCGGTCAGTTCTCTCGAGCCGCAGATGCAGAGGCTCACTGATGATCAGGTTGGTAGAGTTTGAGTTCCTTTTATTGAGCCTATGTGCTATGCGTTTCAGTCTAGGTAACTAGGTACTGTGTTTTGCAAATGTCCTCGTCGTGTGCTTGATAGTTGGCTGCGAAGACATTGGAATTTAGACGAAGGCTGGGGCAGGGCGAAACACTTGCTGATATTCAAAGTGGTGGGAGCTTTGCTATTCATTTTATGGGTTTTAAGTTTTCTGTCTATGTATTTTCAACCCTTTCATTCTGCTTTGGTTATCTTACTCACAGAGGCATTTGCCGTGGTACGCGAAGCTGCCAAGAGAAAGCTTGGAATGCGCCACTTTGATGTACAGGTTTGTCTCTTGCCCATCTTTTTTGCTTCCGTCTCTTTGTAAGCCATCACATGATTCCAATATGTTATCCTAGATTATTGGTGGTGCTGTGCTTCATGACGGATCCATTGCTGAGATGAAAACAGGGGAAGGAAAAACATTGGTTTCTACTCTGGCTGCATATCTTAATGCTCTGACTGGTGAAGGTGTACATGGTATGTTAATGTATCCTATATTGCCATCCAACTGCATGCAGCCAATAAGTCATCGCTCTTCAACGGTAATCTTTCGAATAGAAGGAAATTGGTAGCTTCACGGTACTTTATAATTGTTCCTGCAAACTACATACTTAAAGAAAAGTTGTAATAGTGATAGCTCTTTTGCATCTCTAACTTGCTCAACAACTTAAGAAGCTTACTGTCAAAATGTCCCTTGATAGCATATTGAAGGAAGTCACGTTCCTTCCATCTTTTCCTCCAACAAAATACTATTCAAAACTGCCATCTTCCTATGCTATTTCTGATTCATCTTTTGGAACAGAAGATATTGTTGAAATTGAATGTGTTTGACATAGTATCCTCAAGCAGAAAGAAATGTATTCATGTTTGACACAGTGCATATTGTATATATTTTACATATATCATCAGTTTGTCATATCACCTCAAAATACTTGTCACTGACTTATCTGTCCACACCTCTATCAATATTCAGAGTTAATCTTTCTGTTGCTTGCGCAGGAGGAAATTTAACCTTTGTTATACATGATTAATCGGTCATTTCACTATCAATTTCGTGATGTTATTTTCCTTTCCCTTGACAGTGGTAACGGTGAATGATTATCTAGCTCAACGTGATGCTGAGTGGATGGGGCGTGTTCATCGCTTCTTGGGCCTCTCAGTGGGTTTAATTCAGGTTACTTATTAACAAAGCTCTTTGTAAATAGTCATCTGTTATTCTCGCAGCGTCAGATACTGTGTTCAAAAATCCAATTAGGATAGAAAAGGGGCTCAATCAGAATTTGATTTGATTTTGTGTTCAGTTGCGAAAATTTTACCATAGGTTGTGTGGGAAGATGCGAAAAATGCTACAAAAATGGATACTTCAATCTTCAACTTGCTCATCTTCTGTCTTTTAATGCACTTGAATGTACAGAAGGGAATGAAATCAGCGGAGAGGAGACGCAACTACCAATGTGATATAACCTACACTAATAATTCTGTTGGTGATCTCTTTCCCTTGGCAGTTTACTTTGAATTTTGTTGTTTATATTTGCAGATTTGAATTTATTGATCGGCAATCTATTCACTGTGACTTAAAGTAGGGTGCTTTTTCTTTGTCATCCTTGCATTTACGCACATGTGAACTTGCAAGATCTGTGTTTTAGAACAGTCGATACCCTTATAGCTCCCTTGGATGCTAGAGTTATCCGAATGTTCTGCTTGAGCAATTTCATAAACTGTCACCACCCTTTTGATGACATGTACTCTTGGTTGCTTATGTTTAATTCAAATAATGTTTTCAGGAACTTGGCTTTGATTATTTGAGGGATAATCTAGCAGGCAATAGCGAGCACCTTGTTATGAGATGGTAAACTCACAATGCTACTTGAAGTATGTGCTCCAATCTGATTATCCTGATTAGATATTGTTTTGTGTAGGCCAAAGCCATTTCATTTTGCGATAGTTGACGAAGTTGATTCTGTTCTTATCGATGAAGGAAGAAATCCTTTGTTAATTAGTGGTGAGGTAATGTCTGCTAAATTTTCATGTGCCTGCCTTTCAAGTGTCAAGTTGGAATTATCTTACAAGCATGTCCCGTAATTGAGACCAAATGAACCATGAAACAGACTGATATTTGCAATTTGATGTTCAATAAAATAATCTAGTTTCTTGTGTACTTCAGGCTAGTGAAGATGCTGCACGCTATCCCGTCGCTGCAAAGGTGGCTGACTTGCTCGTGCAGGGGGTTGTAAGTTCTTTTCCATTTCATTTATTCAAAGGCATGAAGAATTTCGTCAGGTATATTGGATAGACTGATAGATCTATGAATTATTATTGACAGCACTACAAAGTGGAGCTTAAAGATAACTCTGTAGAGTTGACTGAGGAAGGGATAGAGCTTGCGGAGTTCGCTCTTGAGACAAATGACTTATGGGATGAAAAGGATCCCTGGGCTAGGTTAAAAATTTGACTCTTTTGTTTTAACTATGTACTTTTTAAAAAAAAGGTCCATGATTAAAGTGTCATTTTGTAGTTTGATTAGGAGGGTTTTTGATGTTGCTTTCTCCAATGACTTCTGTGGAACTTTCCTTTAAAAATTTTTGCTCAAGTTCTATCTAGTTCAGCTTCCTTCATCAACTCTTATTTCCTTCAATATAGCTCTTAATTTTATATGAGTACAGTAAATCCTTCCATATAGAGGTTACACTGTTGCATGTATGTATCAGGAGCAAATGTTTTTGGCTCATTTTGTCTTCTTTCTAATATCTTCTATGTTCCTATAGATTTGTGATGAATGCTTTAAAGGCCAAAGAATTCTACCGACGGGATGTCCAATACATAGTTAGAAATGGAAAGGCTTTAATTATCAATGAGGTACATGGAAACACTGTTGTATGTCAATGGTTGGCCATTGGCTCATCTTTTCCTTCCTTCTTAATTTACGTAGTTTTCATATTTTGGCATCATTGACATATCTTTCTGAAAAGAAGTATATTTATTTGGAGAGCATGTGGTCATTGAAGCACTAATCACTCATACAAGAAAGCAAAAAAAATGAGTCTCCTCTGGTTCAGGATGCTTGTTTAGTGATCCATACTTCTATCTTTTCGTTTTCTGCTTGTCAAGAAAGTAAAAGAAAAAAGTATATTGCGTTTTTCAGTATCTTGCTTCAGTTGCAAGGTTATTTGGCATGATGTAATGTGTGAACAGTATATATGGTTTTATTTATCTGGAAGGAAAAAGTAGCTTTGATGCTCTGCTGATCTATATTGCAGCTGACAGGGAGAGTTGAAGAGAAGAGGAGATGGTCTGAAGGCATACACCAGGCAGTAGAAGCGAAAGAAGGCTTGAAGATTCAGGTTCATCTTTGTCAGTTCGCTCATACTTTAATGTTCATGACATTCATATTCATTTATGAAATCAATTGGATTCAACAAATGTTAGGCTGATTCAGTTGTTGTGGCACAAATCACGTACCAATCCTTGTTTAAGCTCTATCCTAAGCTTTCTGGAATGACTGGAACTGCAAAAACTGAAGTATGGATGTCCTATTTCTGAACCTCTCTAGCATTTCCTGCTTTAGTTTAACTTTCTTATAATACTCACTACTCACATCAAATGTCACTGCAGGAGAAAGAATTCCTGAAAATGTTCCACGTGCCAGTCGTTGAAGTACCGACAAATCTACCAAATATCCGCAAAGATTTACCCATCCAAGCTTTTGCTGTAGGAGAACAACTGTGATCTACATTTTTATTCATTCTCTTATATCCAGCAATCATAACTCTTTCTGCTTATTCCTTTGGTTCTACTTATAGACTGCTCGTGGAAAGTGGCAATTTGTTCGTGAAGAAGTTGAGTACATGTTTAGACATGGACGCCCTGTTTTGGTGGGCACGACCAGGTGAACAGCTTCAGTTTTTCTCCTTAGTTGGCAGAAATCTGACCACCAAAACTGTGTTTTAGTTTCTTTGCTATGAATGGAGGGCCTAACACTTATGCACACCTCATAACAATATCACTGTCCCAACCACATTCAAATGATTCTGCTTAGTATCCTCATTTGTAGGGCTCAAAGAAGAGGGCCCTAATATGTGAAGTCAAGAACTTGGTGAGGAGCACCCTGATTAGGGAAAAATGGAAAGACACTGATGATGGACCCTCTCAAAGAACATTTGGGAGAAGACGTGGTTGAAAAACTTAATTTACTAGGTCTAACCTAGACAATAACTGAATCGCATGCAACACACGCACATATGGACACAGATATGTAGAGAGAGTAGGTTCATGTTCCATATGAGTTGTGTTCTTGGATAGAATGGCAGTTGCTTGCATCATGTGATAATCAATAGAGTAGAATAGAACTTAAAAATATTCACCTCATGGCAGTCGTTCAGAGTGTTTATTGGGTGAATATTGTGATACAACCGAGGTGTTGGACATTGAGTGGTGCTTCAGATAAGATTTTTTTGCTGGATATAGCTTCCTGGAACTGGAATTTATGAAAAAACAAACCTATGTGGAGCCATGTGGGTTGGGCTCTAAAAGAGTATTCTGTGGGACAATTGAGGGTTATGTTAAATTCTTTGAAGAGCGAGGATGGACCTTTGACTTATATCATTTATTGCGTGTCCATAGCTGGTCCTCACGTAAGTTTCTCAGGGTGCTGAATCTTGATGTGATATTTCAATCGCATGCATATCTTATTTAATTTCTCATGTAATTTGCAGGTATTTTCTCATTATATTTTTATGAATGAGTATCCAGAATTTAAACCAATCAATGACAGCATTATCTTCTCAATGCAGTGTAAAGAACTCCGAGCATTTGTCTGATCTGCTGAAGGAATGGAAGATTCCTCACAATGTCTTGAATGCCCGACCTAAGGTCAATCCATATACGTTCTTCAAAGTGTTAGCTAGATGAGGTCTTGTAGAGTACCCGTATTTTTTGTTCAACGTTATGTTTTGTTTCATCAGTATGCTGCAAGGGAGGCAGAGATCGTTGCTCAAGCTGGGAGAAAGTATGCTGTTACAATTTCTACAAATATGGCTGGGAGGGGCACGGACATAATCCTTGGAGGAAATCCAAAAGTATGTGATGCTTTAATCATTAGTTTTATTAGTTTTAGTTTTGCGTGACTTGTCCTAGGAAAGTCTGAATCTTATCTCATCTCTAAATGGCATTTGATCAATTTCTCTGGCATCTGCATGTGTCATAGCATTGTTTCTTCTGATCTTCTTGGGTCAGTACTAAAGGTAGTATCCACTTTTCTCTTGAAATTCAAGATGTTAGCAAAAGAAATAGTAGAAGACAGTTTACTCTCATTTCTCACCCAAGAAGTACCAGAATTGGAGGCTGACAGAGAAATGCTTCCAGAAAAGGTACGAACTTTAAGTTGCTACGGAAAATGGATTGATTTGACTGGTAGTTATAAATTCAATACAGCCAGTTGGACATTTGTTTATGGTTTCAATTAATTTATTTTGTAGGTTCTTTCAAAAATAAAGGTGGGACCGTCGTCGTTAGCTCTGCTAGCAAAGACAGCATTAATGGGTTTGTGACCCTTCTCTGATAGTTGTCATTAGTGCCATTTTCATTGTCACATAAATGGTACATTAGTACACTACACGAGCACTTGCTTAAATGCATATTTTGCTAACATGTGCAAGTTTCAAATGCAAACAACCAGCCAAATATGTTCGCAAGAGTGAGGGCAAATACTGGACATTAAAGGAGGCCAGATCTATTATCTCAGAATCAGTTGAAATAAGTCAATCAACTGATATAAAGGAATTACAGAGGCTTGTCAATGAGCAGGCTGAGATGTACCCACTGGGTCCTACCATAGCAATAGCTTATCTGGAAGTTTTAAAGGAATGTGAAGTACACTGTTTCAATGAAGGAGCTGAAGTTAAAAGGCTTGGGGGGCTTCATGTAATTGGAACATCCTTGCATGAGTCTCGCAGAATAGACAACCAGGCAAGTTTTGATCTTACAAGTATTTCCTGGAATCAGCTACCTGATGCTCAATAATCTACCAAAATAAGTTGTCGCCCAGTTTAGATGCATTCCATGCTCAATGACAAGTCATATTTGCTCATGTGCATTTCCAGCTTAAAAACTCTTGTGCTCCCCTTGTTATTTGGGTCGCACAATGTTTTGTATAAATTTGTTCGACATGTTCTGGTATCTTTTCGACTCTTGCTCTTTAGCAATTAATTAACTAGTAAATAAGTTGAGTGCCTTCCTTTTTTGCAATGTCTTTTGACTATTTTCTGAGTGTTGCCTTATTTCTCGTTTAGATACCTCAGTTTTTTCTTTTTTAATTATTATGTTTTGATTTGAATTGAGAGGACAAAGGGAATCTCTAAGTTTTAGGCGTTACCTGTTCATCAATCATTCTTAAGCTCTGTGTGCTTTCTTCTATTGCTATGCCTTGCCACAGTTCTTTACACTTTTTGCCATATGGAATTCAGGTTGTTATTTTTTGCATTGGATGCATTGTCTGTCTTTTCTATTGTTCTACTGGTCACTGAAAATTACGATCTTAACATGTTTCATGTCCATTTCCTATCTTGATTTGTCCCCTCTTTTGCTGGAGTAGCTTCGTGGCAGAGCAGGAAGGCAGGGGGATCTGGGATCAACGCGATTTATGGTCAGGTAGATTGCTGCATGATAATATGTGACCCAGCCATAAGCTTAGCTAATGTGAATTCATCTAAGGGAGAAATTTTGTTTTTGTTAATTGTTTGTGAATAAGAATCCTGGGGACCTTTTCTTAGTCATGACATCATTTTTGTTTGTGTCAGCATGTGAGAGCTTTCAGCTTGAAGGCCTCTTTTGTAGTTTTTTTGAGGAATACTGATGGCGCTTTTATGTTTTGTCCTATAAACCAATGACATTTGATCCCTCGTATGTTTTTGGTCAAGAAAAATGAAAACTATGAAATGCTTTTGAATCCCATAAATGTCTAATTATCAGGTGATTCTTTGAGTTCTTTTCATCCATCCTGTTTCTGGATTAATCAATTTTCTCCTTTGGGATTAGGGTCAGTAGGTCCATGACGACACGTGGGATTCTTTTAATTCTCGAAGAAGTTGTCCTTAGCCAGAAAAATTGCATTGGGCCAACGTGACAGAGAGTTACACAGCTTCTGGATGTGCTGAGAAAATCTTCCACTTTCTTCTGTTTTAGCAAGATGAAATTGCTTTATGTCAAGCAGATAAAAAGCCATTGTACATTCGACCAAAAGAAAAAGAAGCCATTATACAAGATGACAAAGTAACCAAAGAAAAAATGTGCTGGCTGCAAATATTCTAATGCAGCCAGGCCCTGGAACTGAACTTAGCTTATTGTGTATGTAAAGGTATATCTTGTTTAGTTAAAAATCTGATTCTGTGCTCATAATTAGTTGATAACTCAAATAGCGGATTACCTACGTACTTTTGTGTTGCTTTTCATTCTTTGACTTGAAATCATGTTTTCAGATTTTCCTCAAATTTGGATTGAAGAAATTTGCTGCTATGAGTCACATTAAATTTACTAAAGCAGGATTCCTGTCTTAAGCCATCTGGTGCTCCTTTTTGCAACAGCTTGCAGGATGAGATGTTTCAAAAGTTCAATTTTGACACAGAGTGGGCCGTTAGACTAATATCAAAAATTACAAACGATGAGGACATACCCATTGAAGGTGATGCAATTGTAAAACAGGTCCTGCTCTGTCGTTTCCTTCGCAAACTTCTTTATCCACTGTGAAGTACTTTTCCATTTTCCCTCATTTTCTCCCTTTTTTCACTTGAAGTATTTGCTTTTAGCTCTTAGCACTGCAAATAAATGCAGAGAAGTACTTCTTCGGCATAAGAAAGAGCCTGGTCGAATTTGATGAAGTATTAGAGGTGCGTGTCATACATAGACTGCTTGACTGGGCCTTGTTAAGATTTGGTCCAGCATACTGCAATCATCTTTCTGCCGCTGAACTGCACGTGCTGCACAAAATCTGCAGTTTTTTTTACACAACTCTTTTGAAGTTCTTGTCAATATTTGACAATTTTATAGCTCCAGGATTTTTCCTCCGTGTCTAAGGAAACTAGAGAAGTGCATGTCATTTTCAACTAAAAGAACAAAATTTTCATATTAATAAGGAGCAAGAAATCCCTAATATGATGAATTTTTTATTTTAGGTGCAAAGAAAGCATGTGTATGATCTTCGGCAACTGATGCTAATGGGTGATAGCGAAAGTTGCTCCCAGCACATATACCAGTCAGTGCCTCTACCTTTCAGTAATGTCATTTATGTGCTGCTATAAAATTCCATCATTGATATCTGTAGAAGAAATGGCATCCTTATGTTCCATGGGCACTTTACCATTGTTGATTTTGCGGGCACTTTACCTTTGTTGCTTTTGCAGGCATTTATATATGGTTTTTCATAGCAGGAAAAATATTCAGCTTACATCATTTTCTCGCACAAAGCTGTATCAAGGATCCTTATGCATCATAGCTGAGTACATATGTATGTGTTAATGTGAAATATGTGGAGAAAGACATTTTTGGTAATGATATGAATGTTGCACATGAAATGTTCGTTGGCCTTATGGTACTTGACTTGTTGTTTTTCTAGTTGAAGCTGAACTTACAGTACTCTGTAGCAGATAAAACATGTCTAGCTTTCATGATGTGGTTCTTATGTTTAAGAATCCGCATGATTAAGGAGTATCAAGCATTTTTCATCCCCAAAACCAACACCTTCTTGCATATCTCATCATGACCAAGACGAGGACACTAATTTTAGCTCCATATGACTACACTTCTAATAGCGTCTGAAAAGATGTTTCTTGCAGGTACATGCAAGCGGCGGTTGATGAAATAGTAGTAGCAAATGTTAATCCAGCAAAGGTATTTGCAATTTATAATAGAATTTGCTATTACATTGGCCATTTTTGTCTCTTTCATAATTTTATTCATTTTCTTTTAACAGCATCCAAGCACCTGGAGCTTGAATAAGCTGTTGGAAGAGTTTTCTTCCATTTCTGGGAAGTTGTCGGATGGTGAGGTCCTCGCTGATGATTCTTCATTTTGATTTGCCCTGGCCGGCTTCTGTCATAGTCTATTGATAGTTAAACTTGCAGGCTCATTTGCAGGAATCACTGCAGAGGCTTTACTAAACTCACTTTCTCATCTTGATGACATAAACTCTGTAGATATTAACAACTTTAACCTTCCAAACTTGCCAAAACCTCCAAATACTTTTAGAGGAATCCGCATGAAGAGTGCTTCATTGAAACGTTGGCTTGTCATATGCTCTGATGATATGGCCAAGTGAGTATAACCTTTGTATCAACTCCGTGGAGTGGATTGTTATTTCTTGGTAATGTTTGGCAGAAGAATATACAATTTATGCAATGCATTTATATAATGCAGGAATGGGAGGTATCGGTCTGCCATTAGTTTACTTAGGAAGTACCTTGGAGATCTCTTGATCGCTTCATACTTGGATGCCATACAAGAATTGGGATATGATTATGCTTATGTGAAGGAAATTGAGGTAAAATTTTAATAGCTCTAGTTGCTATTATGATTGCACTGAGGATACTTGGTCCATAGATTACTTTTTAAAGACATTGATTTCAAGACAATGTGTCTACTTAGCAGAGAAATACGTGACTTTGAAATTCCATCTTGAAACTTTCGTTTTCGAGAAAAGGAGTTTGGATTGATTTTTGAAGCACCTAATGAATTGTGGAAAGCGTTCGAGTAAGGAAAATAATGAAAAATTTGAGGTTTCTGTGATTAAAGATGCAGAGTCAGGAAATCCAATAACTTGTAAATGATGAGATATTCAGATAGCTGGCAAAATATAGGTGACAGATGATTTCCGGTTGGATTCAAGTTTATCATGGTGGTGCATTGTTTTGAGTTGTTGTATAGAGAAAAAAACATCATCTTCTTTCTACAGGTATATAGCGTGGATGGATTACACAATTAAAAAACAAATTTTCTTGGTGCATCGTTCTTTTTTTTCTATAGCTAAATCCCAGATAGGTCAGGTTTTAGTTTTAACTTGCTAGCAGGGTAAACTAATGGCGAATTACCTCAGTTCATAATTCATATTTCTTGTTGCTAAACGTACTTGAACAAATGTAAATGATGAGATCTTATAAACAGAGAGCAGTTCTTGTGAAGACCCTAGATTGCTTCTGGAGGGACCATCTTGTCAACATGAACCGGCTCAGTTCTGCGGTACTTCGGTTTCTTCTCCCGGTTTCTTCTCTTTGGCTTTTGACCGATCACCTCACTTATAAGTGCATCTTGTCAGGTAAATGTGCGAAGTTTCGGGCATAGGAATCCTCTTGAAGAATACAAAATCGATGGTTGCAGGTTCTTCATCTCAATGCTCAGTGCCACAAGAAGGCTTACAGTCGAATCACTGACTCGTTACTGGTCATCACCATTGGAGACAGAGGAAATATACATCTCATAACACCTAAAGAAATTTCTGTTCAGAGGTATTTTTCTTGTCTGTTACCTACAGTCTTTCATTTTCATCCAGAGTATAGCACTATGTGCACTTTCAAAGATTATTCCCTTTGGTGATCTTTGACAGGGTTGATAACTTCTGTCGTTTATCTTCTTCATTTATTTTCTTGTGTCATTAAGTTTGCCGTCTCGATTATTCTTGATCTCTCTGGATTGGTAGTCTTAAGTTGTTGCAACATAAAGGCTTTTGGCTTTCAGGAATGTTTACTCCAAATCAATGACCAATTGCTGTTCTGGAGATGTTGCTCTCGGATGGCGTTAGTATGTTTTTTAAGGAATACCGTCATTCCCTGCAAAGTTTCTGGTTTTCAAAGTGAATGACATCCAGACTAATGTTAATCTATACATGTGCCCAAGGAACTTGCAGCAATATCTGGGTATAGAAGTTAAAATTCTCTCTTGAACAATAATAACAAGTTTTTGCAATTTTGTTAAGATATCTATTTGCTGCTGGCACGACTGACATTGGAGTATGATGGCTTGCAGTATGGTTTTTGCTCGAGTCTTGATTGGATATTCGAGATGTGGGAGTGCACAGACAATTCTTCCGAAGAGTATATAGCAGCTGTAGGGCACAGATATTGTTTTTTCGCTACACATACAATTCAAAATGCATACTAAAACTAATCTAATGCATCACCTCGAGTGACTGAAATAGGAATGCACAATTTCTCCTTTTTTGGGGGGCTGAGATGGGGGTTCAACTGTATTATGACGGAATCCTGATATACTCAGAGTGAGAGAGAGAGAGAGAGACCGAGAATACAAATTTGCGATAGCTTTTGTATATTCGTGTGAGTTGTAAGTATGCTACTATGCTTGAAAGTTTCCCATATTTGGAGGGCATTCACGATATAACAGAGAGAGATAGAGATGATGATGATGGAGTCAGGAGAAGTGCTATGAATACCGCAGAATTCAACTTAGTTATATATGTCTGATGTTTGCTTTTAATGCCATCTTAAACAGCTTGCAGAAAATTTCTTTTTGGGGGGAAGAATTGACGAAAGTGAAGTTCAGACTCTGGCATCGCACAATGGAAGATCAATCTTCACTGCCCGTCTTTTATTGTCTTTCTGTTACAACAGAAATCCTTCACGCTTTATTTTGTACATCAATGTTCCTTACTGGCCCCTTGAACCACTTCCTAGCATCCAACCACCACCAAAGCAATACTAGTGTCAAGACGACACCTAATGCGACAGGTGCATAGTTGAAAGTTTTCCACCGAATTGGGTACGAAGTCGGAAGTAGAAAGACCGAACAAGTGTAACATATCCACAGGAAAGCCACCAAGCAGATTGGCCTTCTTGCTCTGCCCAAATAAAATGGTCCCGGTTTAAAATTCTCCTCGGCCATCATGAGCCTCGCGAAAATCGGAACTGCGTAACCGCCCACCCAACCAATGGTACTGACGGAAATGATGGCTGTGAAAACCACGTCCAATTTCAGTATGGGAAACCCTAGAAGTATGCCAATCGATGCACAGAGCCATACAGCATTGGATGGGACTTTGTACTTTGGATGGATTCTTCTCCAGATTGGTGAGAATGGGATTCCATTGTCTCTGGAGAGTGCGTAAACCTACACGGAGAAGCGAAAGCTTGTCAATCTAGAGCAAATGCACAAACTACAAAGAGAGACAGAGAGAGAGACTCACTACTCTAGCTGCACTTGTAGTAACCGCAAGTCCACAAAAGAAGAAGGATCCCCAGATGATACAGAGAAATATGACAGCTCCGGTTGAGCTGTGAAACCTCCCGTGGAATGCGTCGTAAATGATCTGCGCAGGAACAAGTGCTCCTGCTGTCTCATTGTTTGGATCATACAAGTAGTTTGGATCCTGCATTAGAATCATTCCCATGTCAAAATTCGCTCCCCTTTTCCTTTCTTTTTTCAGTTCATTCTAGTCACTGCCAAAATTCCATATATGGGGGGTAAAAGGAATCCCATATTTACCTTGATGCTGAAGGTGAGTGCAAGATTATAAGCCCATCCAAAGACCGTGATGATGCCGATGCTAGAAAGAATGGCAATAGGGCCAGTTCTATCAGCTCCTTTGGTTTCCTCAGTGAGATGAGCGGCTGTGTCATAGCCATATAGACAGTAATTGCTGAGAAGCACGGATAAAATCACCGCATACGGTTTGCTGCTCACACCAGTCGATTCTGGCGACAATTCAAAGTGAGTGAAGACATAGGAAGCTGATTGTGTCGGCCTCGCCACCAGAGGAAGCCCTATAATCACTGCCAGACCACCCAAAACCTGCAAAATTTTGTGACAACATATAGCACTGTGAATGGCCTTTCATTTCAAAACGATCAGTTCCCAGTTTCCTATTCATATAGAAAATTGTAAACATTGAACAGAGGAAATCTCGCCTGCCACCATATTGAAACGATGCCCAGATAAGCAATGACTCTGAGTGCAAAAGTGTTGAGAACAGCCCAGACTAGGGCGAGGCCAATGTACATGCACAGGAATACACTTCTAGAAGCAAAGTAGCCTCCTCCCTTGTTTGTTCCGGTCGACAACAAAATAATCATCTGTAGTGCCTGTGCTCCTGAATATGCCTAGCAAAATCAAAAGGCCATCCTTTCATGAGAACACAAGTTAGTAATGTGAATCAAATTATATGGATTGAACTAATGCGGACGGTTATATCATGCAAGAACTAAGTTATGAGAAAAGTCATCACTCAAATACCTGAGCGCCTATCCCCGAAACTAGACCGATGGTTTCGAGCCATGCACAGCACCACGATGCAAATGGTCCCCACCTCGGTCCGGCCAAATGGGCCGCCCAGAAATAAAGTGAACCAGTGGTCTGTTCAATTATAGCACTGACCTTTAGCATAGTTCACTCAGCTAACAAATAAATGAACTACAATAGAATCAATCAAGTAGAGTCTGTAAATATCAATCAAGCATAGTTCACAAATATTCCTGATTGAATGAGTTTGCTTCGCAAAGTTGAATTCGTTATGATCTGATAATTTCTGTAAGAAAAGTGAAAGGCCAAAAGAGAATTGAACATACAGGGAAGGAGGAGCAGATCTCAGCCATGGCAAGTCCTACAAACCAAGTGAAGAATGTGACGACGACCCAACCCCATATTAAGCTTGCCGGTCCTGCATATAGCAGGCTCGCCCCATACAGCGGCGTCCCCGTGAACACCGCCATGCTCGAGAACGTCAGTGCAAGTGTCTTGAACATTGTCTGCAATATAAAAAAATCCATCAGCATCTCGCATCATATAAATATGAAGCTCAACAACTGAAAATGAACATTCAAAGAAGAAAAGGAGGGGATTTATCGATGCGTAGAACCATCTCTCTTCTGAGTTCTTGCTTGTATCCGAGCTCGTTGAGACGCTTTTCGCCCGAATCCATCTCGGAGAACTTAGATAGAGCTCTTCCCCCACACCAGTGCTGGCAATATGAACTCAGAAGCTTTTGCTTAGTTTCTGGGCGCTATCAGAACTTCATCAGAGACAGACGTTAATATATAAACACATCCGCGTGGAAAAACAGAGATATTGAGCATATACTAGTTGATGTGATGGGCAAAATTAATCACACTTCGTGAACTACGAGAAAATATTTGATTCATGAGTTTAGTATGGATGTCTCATTGAGTCTTGATATATGATTGGCTTGATCGAGCAGAACGAGTTTAGATCAACATATGCAAATATATAAAAATATGTCCGACGATGACGAAAGACACTCGACCAGTTGTTATGAATTGGTCTCCAAATGTGATAGGACGAACGACCCGGTAAGTCAAAATGAACAGTAAACAGGGATGTTGATGTCAGGCAGCTTGGCCAAACGGGTCAATTTTTCAAAAGAGTACAACTTCGACCTCCCAAACCCCATGACTTTTCTGGCACGTAAATTTGCTGGATCTACGAAAGCGGAGTCTAATAGAAATAGAATAGTGTGCTCTCTCCAAAAACAACTGGTGCGGGTTGGTCAATGGTGCAATATCCTTTAGGGTAAAGTATGCTGCATGTTTGACTTCCTTGTCCCAAGGCAACCTTTAGCGTTTGTCGGTACTTCGGCATTGCCCATAACGACAACGCGCATTTTTTGAAGTTTATTCAACATCTTTGAATATTCCAACTTCTTAAGAACAAAAAAAAAAAGAAAGGAATCTGCGAATGATTCAACACTCACTGTGGATGTCAGTCCTATTGAACTTTTCCGTGGATCCGGATCTTGTGGAAGTTGACCTTCGGAAGCCCATAATTGATGTGCTATTATGGTTATTTTTCCGATTTTTTTGACAATCAGGTAATCTAATTATCCTAGGAAAAAGTCACAAGAAATCTCAAATTATGCTCATTATAACATATTTAACTTAAACTTTTTTTTGTGACATCGAAAACCTCAAATTATATCTAGAATTCCACATTTACCTTAAATTTTTTCTTGTGACATAAACATATTTATCCTCTGTCAAGATTTTGTTAGATAATTTTACAGTTAAAACAATGTAATTTTGTCACATGGGCGACATGTTAACACTATTTACTTTCTAGCATCTATCTAGGCAAATTTTTAACAGATCTCATTGACAGAACTTTAAAAGAAGATAAATGTGTCGCACATATACAAATTTGAGATTTTTGATTTTACAGAAAAAAAAATTCATAATAAATGTACCACAATGGGAATAACTTAGAATGTTTGGTGACTTTTGCCCAATTTATGTCCTTTCTTTAAGTGCCATTGGTAACTCTGTCAGTTTACTAATGGCGCGATACAAGTATTTGAATTTCTCTAATTACAAAACTATGTGGGTAACTTACAAAACATGTTTGTCATTTTTTTCAGACTGATTTTTTATCTGTAATACTTTGAAAGTCACAAATTTATCCATAAGAGGCGACCAATTAATATAAATTCTCAAACCCTAGTAAAAAAATCCAAAGAAACCAAGTGGTAAAAATTAAGTTGCAAAAGTTTGTCATAGAAAGCATAGAAAATACCATATTTCAGCTCTAACTTATATTGTTCGAAAAGAAAGCGAAATCTCTTTTTTTCCCAATAGGTACTGCATCTATCAGTTTGACCAAAATAAACACTAAAATAATTAACCTTAATAATTCAGAAAATCTTAGTTGTTTTGGAATTTAAAAATGTTTCAATAAATAAAGCTAAATTTGTCAATAGACATGCGGCCTTACTGGTAAAGAAATTGAAAATAAGGTATTACGGTCCTACTAGTAAAGGGATAGGGGATGGGGTCGGAGAGTAACAGGGTCGAGGTTCGATCCCGACAGGAAAAAAAAAAAAAAAAAAAAAAGCTGGACTTGGTGAAGATTAAGACTAGATTTGATGACGAGCCTCGTGATTAACGCTCTATTTGAACAAACGAACCGGACATCATCCACGCCCTCCAACTCCAATTTTTTCCCCGCCATTTCTTCAGGCACATGAACGCAGAAGGCCTTGCCTCCCTCCTGCACCGATGCTCCAAGATCAGAGCCTATCGCCGCGGGATGTCTCTTCACGGCCTCGCCATCACGTCGGGCATGCACTCCGATACCATAATCTCCAACCACGTCCTCAACATGTACGCCAAGTGCGGCGACATCTCGCTCGCGCGTCGAGTGTTCGACGGAATGCCCGAAAGAAGCCTGGTCTCTTATTCCGCCATGATCTCTGGCTGCAGCCAGGCTGGGGACCACGGGATGGCGCTTGGACTGTTCTCTCAAATGGGTGTTGCCCCGAATGAGTATGTTTACGCTAGCGCCATCAGTTCGTGCGCCTCGCTCGAGGCGTTGCTGCAAGGCCAGCAAATTCATGCCCATTCGCTGAAGTCCGGCTATGCGGCCGTGTCTTTTGTCGCCAACTCGCTGATTTCGTTGTATATGAAACTGGGTCGTTGTGATGATGCCGAGTCGGTGTATGACTGTGTTGCCGAACCGAATACGGTTACTTATAATACGTTAATTGCTGGTTTTGTAGAGAATCATCAGACCGGAAAGGGATTTGAAGTCTTTAAGGTTATGCATCAACAGGGTCTTCTGCCGGACAGGTTCACATTTGTCGTGTTAGCAGGGATTCCCCTTGAGTCAAAAAATTTACAGAAGGGAATGGCTTATCATTGTCTAGCAATCAAGCTCAGACTTGACTCCTGTGCTTTCGTTGGCAATTTGATAATGACTATGTATTCCAAGTTCATTTTGTTTAATTCGGTGGAGAGGGCGTTTAGAGTGATCAAAGATAAAGACTCCATTTCTTGGAACGCGTTAATGACTGCTTCTAATCAGTGCCTTGATTATACAAAGAGTATGAGAATTTTCAAGCAGCTGAAAGTTGAGTGCACTGTACTGCCTGACGACTTCAGTTACACCAGCGTGATTGCTGCTTGTGCGGAGCTTGCTTCACTTCATCATGGCAAACAGATTCATGCTCATCTGATTAGAACAAAGCTGTCATGGGATGTTGGAGTTGGTAATGCCCTTGTCAATCTGTACGCTAAATGTGGTTCCCTGGAATATGCTTGTAGGGTATTTTGGAGGATGCTCTCCCGGAATCTTGTTTCATGGAATACCATGATTGCTGTGTATGGCAATCATGGGCTTGGAGAGAGAGCCATTGAAATTTTTGAGCAGATGCTTGCAATGGGAGTAAGACCGGATTCTATCACATTTGTAGGACTCTTGATAGCTTGCAACCATGCTGGGCTGGTGGACAAAGGGTTAGCTTACTTTAATATTATGATAGAGCAATGTGGGGTATCCCCTGATTTAGAACATTTCTCTTGCCTCATTGACATGTTGGGACGGGCCGGGAGATTATATGAGGCGGAAGAGCTAATTAGTGAATATGATTTTGGGCATGATCCGGTTATATCAGGAAGCTTGCTTTCCGCATGCCGGCTGCATGGAAATGTTGATATTGCGGAACGTCTAGCAAAAAGACTATTGAAACTCCAGCCTCTGTCAACCTCACCATATGTACTGTTGTCAAACTTGTATGCTTCGGGTAGGGCGTGGGGTGATGTTGCCGAAGCAAGGAAGTTGTTGAAAGTCAGTGGACTGAAGAAAGAACCGGGCCATAGTTTGATTGAGGCTAATGGGACATTGAGAAAATTTACTATGGGAAATTTTTCTCATGCACAGGAAGATGAGGTGAAGGATCTACTAAGAAACTTAGATTGGGCAGTAGGTGACATTGATTCATGTCAAACCAACATATTTGTCTCATGAGGTGCGTCTATTCCTTTTGTATTTGCGTCTGTACTTAGCACTGAGAGTTGCCTCCTCAACATGCCCCTGGGTGCGAATTTTGAGGGAGCCTTTTGGAGCACTTGGATAATCATTGGAGATTAATGGTTCCACCAATCTTCAGAAATTTGGAATAATAGCCGTAGGAGTGGAGTGATAAGTCTGGTAGCATTGGTGGAGAACAATATGAAGAGAGGAGGGGAGTGGGGATTGACAGGCCTCTGGATTTGTGGATTTAGACTTCTGCTTTCTCAGGTGCTTATCTTAATTAGTGTGCATGTATGACAATGGGTCTGGTTTATGCTTATTTTTGTTTTTCTAGTCCATGGACTTCTTCTACATGTCCATCTTGTGGTTGTTGCATTCACGATGAGTACAACATTGCCTTGTTTTTACCAGAATTCTTTTTTCCATGGTTTTAACTGTAACTCGTGAAAGTGAAGTTCACAAAGCACTTCAAGAAGTACTGGAGAAAATAACCACAAAGCTCTCTTCTTATGTGGAGTATATATAGGAAGTCTGTTTTTGCATTATGCTCTAAGAAATGTCAGTGGATCAATCTATTTCAGAGGTTCTTGTCTGCCTGATGTCGTTTTCAACTAGAATTCATGTTTGATGTTCGGTTTTCTTTGGTTATTCTGAGCCAATATTTGGAAAATTGCTCTTTTTCAATAGCCATTTAGCTCCTTGTCCATCTGATTCATGTTCACACTTTTTCAGGTGGAGCACCTGAAATTTCCTGGGTTTTTGTGTAATGCACAGCAAAGAAAGGAGTATTGATAGACTGAGATGTTAACGTAGCCCTTAACAGCTAATGTGGAGTTGTCCTTTCCCATATTGAGTAGTAGGTCATTCTTCTTTGTCGTTCTTACTGTTTTATTGCCACCAGTCTACGTCGGGATTTTGAATGCTTCATCTTCCCTGATATTGCAAAGTTACACAACTTAATGAGTATCGTGATCATCTACCTGAAAAATTTGTGTTGAAGACTTAATGTTTTCATAAGCATTGGTGACTAGCGACCATTTTGGGATTACTTATGCATCTTTGGATTACTGTGTCATCCTTATGACTCGGATGGTCTTTTATACCTTTTCTAATCTTTCAGATGTCACCTGTGGTGATTGATTATTAAGTGACCCAATCTTGATGAAATTTACTGCATGACAAAGTTGAAGAGCTCCACTAGTTGGGGGTTATGGGCAGTAATCAACACAGCGGTTCTGGCTTAAACCAAGTAGTTGCAGTAGGCAGCTGTTCGATCATCTTTGTTTGGTTCTGGTATCACCAATGCAGGTGGAGCTTTAGCATATTTCACTGATAATCCAGAATTTTTGTCATTTCATTAACTTTCCCCTTTTTTTCCGTTTTTGAAGAAAAAATCTCCATACTATTCAATAACTTTCCCCTTTTTTTTTGTTTTGAAGGAAAAATATCCATTTTAGAAATGCAAAGCTCCAGTTCGTACAACAAAGCGGTGCGAAGGTTGAGTAAAACACTCCACTCCGGTTCCAAATAGAGAGGTGGGAAAGGTCGAGCACGGCAATTTGCTCCGGTTCATGCAAAATAGAGGTGCGTTTCAGCTCTGCTCATATTTTGCATTCACAAAAGTAATGAATCTAAAAATTAATATGTAATTATCATGGTGATTCGTTGGTGGAAAGTGATGAATCTGAAGATACAGAAAACTGTGGAATTCAAGTACGTGATCCCCTTCGGAGAAGACCAAAAGGTGTATGAAATACATGTTTGAAGAGCACCAGGGAGAAGCGAAAGAGAAAAGCCTCATCATGCACAGCAGAAGACCAAAAGGTGTACCAAATACTTGGTTGCAAGCTTTGAAAAGAATGATCTTATCTGCAGCTCACTTGTAGGAATGTCCTCTTCTATATTGAATTGCAATCTCAGTTTAAGCTATTCAATCATCCAGCAGTGCTGATGATAGATCGAAAAAAAAAAGACAGAAATTCATCAGCACATATGCGATTACAACTTGAGTTCAGGGGATTTAATTTCTTTTCTGCTCTTCCATGGCAGGATCATTTGTGAAAACAAGCAAGAAGAAGACCACAACTAATCACAATTGGTGGTGCTAAAATAATGTGCAATGATTTACATACAGGGATTTATGTGATCGAGAAAAGTCTACATAAAATCGTGCCGTGACTTACGGTATGGGAGAAAAGTGTCAAAAAAGTTCTAAACCTTTTACATTTGTGCCAATTTAGTTCTAAACCTTTTTTTGGTACAGATTCAGTCTTAAACTTTTTGCATTGGCGCCAATTTAGTCCTAAACATTTTTTTTGTGCCAATTCAGTCATAAACCTTTTGCGTTGGTGCCAATTCTGTCCTAAACTTTTTACATTGGTGCCAATTCAGTCCTTTCGGCTAATAGCTATTCACGTGTCGAATGACTGAATTAGCACCAATGCAAAAGATTTAGGACTGAATTTGCACCAAATCAAAATGTTTATGACTAAATTGGCACCAAAAAAAGGTTTAGGACTGAATTGGCACAAATGCAAAAGGTTTAGGACTGAATTGATACCAAAAAAAGGTTTAGGACTCAATTGGCACAAATACAAAAGATTTATGACTGAATTGGTACAAAAAAAATGTTTAGGACTAAATTGGCACCGATACAAAAGATTTAGAACTTTTTGACATTTTTCCCTGACTTACGGAATCTGCAGCAATGTGAATGATCAACGACCTTTATTAACAACACTCGAGGCAGATGTCATGAGTTATATGTTTGTTATGAAACGTGACTTTTGTGAATACAATATACAAGCAGAGCTGAAACTCATCTCTCTTCTATCCGAACGGGAGCGAAGTGTCGCACTTGACCTATCACAAATTAAGTCCTCATTTTCTTGAACCACCAAAATATATGTGGGCTTCCATTTCCTTGTCAACTTTTTTTTATTTCTTTTAAATTAGGGTTTTTTTGGTCGAATTTTAATTTAGGGTTAATGCCATGAAAAATCTTAAACTGGTACACTTGTGATAAATTTACCTCAAACTAATTTTTTGATCATGAAAAACCCCAAACTGGTATATCTGTAATAATTTTACCCTATGTAAGTTTCCGTTAAATTTACTGTCAAATTTATGAATTGGATGACACTTAGCAGATAACGGGTATATCAATGTAGGGTTTTAACCTCTGTTTGTCACATATGTACTATTTTGTGGTTTTTCGTGATATAAATCCAATTTAATGAAAGATAAATTTTTCATAAATGTACCAATTTGGGATTTATGGTGGTCAAAAAATTAGTTCAAGGTAAATCTGTCACAGGTGTACCATTTTGGAGTTTTTTATGATCAAAAAATTAGTTTCGGATAAATTTATCACAGATTTACCAGTTTGGGATTTTTTGTGATATTAACCCTTTAAATTATTGTGCATTCCCTTTATTAATAATTATGTGCCAATTGGTATGGCCAAACATCAAAATGAAATTTTCTTGTCTGTAGAAATAATTGAAATCATGAATTTATTTAATGTCTGAGCATGAGTCATATCTAATCTGGTCTAGTCTGATAGCCAACCCTATATAGGGGTTGTTGAGAGACTATGTAAGCTGCCATGAGAATATCCATGAAATCGAAAATTATCATGAGTTTAAGTTAATTGTACTATAAACGAGCAAAATTTGCCTATAAAAGAAAACTATTTTTACAATAATCTTTGTTATAAAAAAATCATATCTGACAATTGAATTTTGATATTATTTTGTATTATCTAATGATGCATCAGAAGGATGTTATATTTCTTCGTGCGAATATGACATTAAAAAATAATCGTATCTTCGGTATATGTGATAAGTGACTTGCTACATCATTAATTAACCGGCAGAAATTCGGAAAATAAGTAGAAAGTTGAAGTATTTTTATGCGTGTATAAATTATACATCATGTGTTTTATATGTGCGCAATACGTTGTACTCTTGACAAAAGTGTTTTTCCGAAATAACGTAGTACAAGTTTTTTAATAACAGAGATGTGAACATCGATCACTACACTTTGATAGATTATGGGTCTATCAATCAGAGAAAAAAATGATTATTAAATAAATAGAAGATGAGAGAACATTCAGTGGACGATTTTAGGTGAACGACTAAGCGAAATAAATCCTTCTGTTTTAGATCTTAAAAAGAGAGAAAACGACCCGACCTGACCCGAATCAAATCGAATCAGATTTTCGGTTCATGTCATATTCGGGTCAGGTTGTGATTTGGTTTAGTTCAACCTCTCACCCTATCGGACACCCCTACATTTACTTTCGATGATGACTATACTGATATCCGACGAAAAAAAGATATAGGTCGATAGCCCGAAAATCCGGATCGATTTTGTGTGAGGAAAGCTATCGACTATATAAACTTTCCACACATACATATAATCCTAACCATAAAATCATGCGTGTACGTGGCAAATCATGATGGCTTTTGCAGATTGTCACATCATTACAATCAATGAGTTTCTAACACAAGAATTGTGCGTGTACTGCAAAAGAAATATTGAGTTGACCAGAGACTGAAATGTGATTTTCTGCGCATGGCAATTATTTTATACTCGAAAATAGATTTTAGTCAAAAATATTTTTTTTTATTCTGTGTCCGAAAATAATTTTTAAGTATTTAAAGACGTTTAGTAACTGCCCAAAGTTTCTATTCTTAGAATAGAAAAAGAACATAAATAAGTTTAGTAGCTACACAAAATTTCTTTTTATTAATAATATTTTGAATTTTTTTAATATTTCTTTCTTTTTTTTTTCCTTTTTTTTCTTTTTTTCCCTTGGCCATGGCCGGTCGCCGACGCCAGCACCGACGACCGGCAACAGGCCAGGGCCGGCCAGGGCGTCGCGGCCCTCGTCGCCGGCCTCGCCGATGGCGACGGCGAGCTCAGCCTCACTAGATCACGGCAAGCTTGAGCCTCGCCCAGCCAAGAAGAGGCAGACCTCGCCGTCCCCCCCCCCCCCCCCCAAGACGGCGAGGTCGGCCTCGCCATGGCCGGGCGAGGCTCGACCTCGCCCAGATCTGGCAAGGCTCGACCTCGCCGTTACCAGGGGTGGCGATGGCGAGGTCGGCCTCGCCTTGGCCGGGCGAGGCTTGACTTCGCCCAAATCTGGCGAGGCCAATCTCGCCGTCACCGGGGGTGGCGACGGCGAGGTCGGCCTCGCCAGATCTGGGCAAGGCCGACCTCGCCGTCGCCGGGGGCGGCGAGGGCCACCCTCGCCAGCCTTGGCCAGTGGACGGTTGCCGGTGGCCGGTCGCTGGCAGCGGGCCAACGGTGGGCCAAGAAGAAGATGAAGAACAAATAAAAAAGAAAGAAGAAAACCAAGAAGAATCAGTTCCGGAAAAATTGTTCCAGAATCAAGAAATTACTTTTTTTTGCCTCTTAATTCTGTTCCAAAACTGATTATGGGACCAATTTTTTGCAAAATTGTGCCCGGGCACAAAAATTTTAACAAACGGATTTCTGTTCTTAAACGGATTCTAGGAACAAAAGAATAGAAATTTTCACTATTTTGCACGTCGCCAAACGGGCCCTAAACTAGCAATTAACGTGGAGGAAGCAGCTTCTTAGGTGAGGAATTTGAATGAACAAGAATTTTGATGATGAGAACTGTGAGGTGTCAAGAAGGCCATTCAATGAAGATTGATGAGCGAGACTTGTCTTCTTCTGCACAGTACCACCTTTCATTTTGGTACAAGGAAAGTGAGAACAAAGTTGATGAAGGAGTTTATGGCAGCAATCGAGGAAAACTAGTGCTGCAATAGTACCACCTTTCATTTTGGACTTTTTATCTATAGAACGTCTGTATAAAGTTCAATTTTTCTCACGCATGTTTTCATGGAACGTTCATCTTTATACATTTGAATTCAACAATAGAAAATTGACTCTATTTTTCAAAGTTAACCTGCAGTAAACATATGTCACTCATTCAAACCAGCTTGAATATATTAAGATTGACACAGTCAATGCACGAACTGGAGATTTTATTTTTTTAGGCGAAAGAGTGAATGACAATGAATATTTATTTTGTGTGCCATTAATTGAGAACCTCAACTCATCAGTTTATGGGGGGAAGAGAACAGTTGAGGTAGTTATCTAACTAAACAAGACGAGTGGACTTTGCTCATTTAATTCTTTACTAATCACGAGCTTTGGAACCATCAAACTTGGCCAAAGCCATCGCACTGAACTTGTGTTTCAAGTCAGAGAAGTGATTACTCAAAGGTTCTGGTCAGACAATAATACACCCTTCTATCAACTTGTTGTAGGGAAAAATAATACACTTTAATTCGAAGAAAATCTTCACCTAAATCCTCCAAACCTATTTAATTGAAGTGAACCAGAAGTACCGGACGCAGTCAAGCCGACCACGGCAATGACTTTGCTTGGCGTACTCTGCATGTCCAGCAAATTCTTTTTAATTGCAGCCATCCAAGGCTTCTTATAACAAGATGTATGATGTACTGCAATAGCATATGATAACAACTGATTAAAAAAGCTGCCTGGAGACGGAGAAACCTAAAACCAAATCTATGTACAGAGACTCTAGACCGTTTTTGAGTGCTTTGCGTGAAACATTGTAGTTCAGCATCATGGGGCATTAACCCTCATGCATGAACATCTCTTTCAATCGTTTCACTCGTTTCAAGACTAAAACTTCATTAGTTTTTATCATTTCTCCTACTCGATGGATTGTCTTGGGAGAATGAATGGAGTTCCTCTCTTGCATTCTCTCGTGCTAATTAGGGTTTCTTTCCTTTTTTTTAACTTGTAACTGTATACTGGGTACGTACAGTTATCGGGAAAATTATCCAAAAAATCCTAAACCTATTATACGGCGGTCAATTCAATCCTAAACCTTTCAATTTTGCCAATTCAGTCCTAAACCTTTAAAAAGTTGTCAATTTAGTCATAAACCTTTCAATCGTGCCAATTTAGTCCTAAACCTATTGACTATTTATCAATTTAGTCCTAAACCTTTTAACTAATTGCT